CACACACACACACACACACACACACACACACACACACACACACACACGCACGCACACACACTTTTTACTCTGTAAAACTACAACGGCTAAAGCCTCGAAAGGGGAATAAGAGTCCGGTCCAGAGCGTCTTCTGGAAGAGTCCTGAGCCTCGATTCGTTTTAACTCTGAACAAAAGTCATGTATGTGTGAGTGTCTACATGTATGAGGACGTGTAAACATCAAAATGTGAGAGGGACGAGTGGGCGGTTACTCCGAGGGGCCACTGGAGTGAGCGTGTAGCATTAGGGCTGTGTGCAAGTTAACTACGCCTGTGACCACTTTCATGTCGGATGGGCTTTTGTAATCTGTGTTGGTTTACTTCGGATGATTATTTGTCGACTTTTTTTTCTTTCTTCTTTCTTCTAGCTGTTTCCTGTTAAGTCTCTCCACCGTTGCAAATGTACATTCAACCATCGTAGGGGGAGAGCGTGACACGGGGGCCACACACCAACCGATCCCAAGGCTCCTGCCAGTGGTCCGATAAAGACTCTCGCCTCGCCGGCGCTCTCAAAATAAACAGCAGTAGAGGTACTGGAGGACGCTGTACCAGATGTAGCCGGAGGCGAACGCAAACGACTGGATGACGCAAAGCCACACAGGATCCAGGATCATCTGCCGGGAAGCGGCCTCCTTCTGTCCGTCTGGAGGAGGGAAGGAACCTGTTGAGAGACAGAAACACGCGCATAACTGTGCCGCTCCATTTGTTGTAGTAAGTAGAGTTTCAAACTCCCTTCAGATCAGAACCACCCGCTTTGAGGATGTCATATTTAATTAAAAAAGGAGGGAAACTGAAGTAATTAATGACGATTCCGCCTTCGGTGTTGGCGTTAATGTTATGAAGCGTTCGGATTACAAACAGACGATCCAGCTAGCCCATTATAGGATGTCCTCTCCTCTTGTCCTGTCGCTCTGTGTGGAGCAGGACGCATACTGAGAGGAGTTCCATTTGAATCGGGAAAGAAGTTTGCTAAGTGTAACTGAAAGCTTTCATTTGGACGGCAGGTAAATGGTCACACGAACACGTGTTGGTCTCTGTGCTGCCTACTATTATTGTTATTAACATGCCAACTAGCAGCAAATAAACTAAAGTTTATTACATAGGGACAAAGGGATTTTGCTTCCATGACTGGTTGTTCTAATTTAGCAACTCAATTTACTTCAGACAAAATAGTCAAGTGGGGTAAAATAACATTTTAAAAGTGAGGAGAACAGCTTCCATTCGAGCTTGACGTGAACCCGTGTGCGGTGTCGGATGTACCTGTGTTGTAAAAGTGGGCCAGCAGCTCTTCTTTTTCCACAAATCTTTGATACAGCCAGTCAGTCAGGGCTTCCGCCTCCACAGGAACCTCTTTTATGGGGTACATCCTGACGTAGAGAAGAGGGGGCAGGCAGAAGGGAAGGGGAGAGATGAAACATTAAAGAGGTTTTACTGAGGTCTCAGCAAAATAGCTGTCCGCATCGATCGGCGCCGGGAGCCGGAGCGCAAACCCAGAGAGTGTCAGCCGAGCTCCCCGAGCAGGGCCGCTCACCTCAGACTGGAGTCTATTACAGCAGCCCGCGTGTGCCGCGCTTCCTTTTGTGCATTCATTAGCTGGCAGCCTCATCAGTGTCACAGAGAGAGAGACGGAGAGTGCTGAGGGGAGCCCCGACAGCAGACTCACGGAGCTCCGCAAATGACTCACGGGCGAGTGGGCAGAAAAAGTCCAGAAAAAAAAAAATCGGACTGCCATAAATCAGTTTAGACATCACGTCCATGAAAAGTCATAGGGAAGCGGCGGTTTTAAATCCACACATGCAGATTTTCTCATGGAAATTCTCATCTTTTTGTAATCCCAGAATAGGACATGAATGCATGTTGAGATGCAAAATAAGCTTCTTTGGAAACCATCTGCTGTATAGAAAGACTTCATTATTTCCTTTTTTTGTGGGAACAAGTAAAAAATTTGATCAAAAATCGAGGTTGACCAATTCTACCATACATGGAAACACACAGGTATTTACTAGGAGGCCACATCAACAAACATAGACTCAATGAATTAAGTAGACTGTGACTTTACTAATTAAAAAGCAGCTAAACTTGTTCAGAAATCTTCTATTGTGAGGAGGGACTGCCCAACTTCTTTCCCTTGGATACATTTAGTTTAAAGCTAGTTTGAACCCGCTGGCCGAAGAGATGAAAAAAACGTATTCAGAAACATGTAACCAGGGAAATGCTGGAAATGTGACTCAGTAAAATCCATCTTACTGACAGCTGATGAGGCAAATAAGCCTCTTTTCTTCAAATACACCCTTTCTGAAGGTTATCAACTCGATTCGGAGCTCCAGCTGTGATTTGACCACATCGAATTCTGCAGCTGACGCTGCAAAACACCAATAGAGGCTTGATGAAAAAGGGTCACTTTCACGAGTGCTGAGGAAATCTAGTCTGCAGCCAGAAGGGGTCTCTAGCAGGCCGCTCTCCCGCTCACAGGGAGCGCCTGCTCACCTTCAAATAGAGGTTACCGTCTCCTCCCTCAGTCCAGCATTTCCTCGCGACTCAACATTAGCTCAACACTTCTGACCAGACAATGCCCAAAGCGCAGGCACATCTGTGCCAAACCAAAGCCTCGGCCAGAGGGAGGCCGTCTGGTAACAGGATACCAATTAGCGTGTGTCACGACTGACTCTGCAGACGCCAATTTAGATGACAGGATTGATTTTCACTGTGTTGTAGTTAAAAAAAGAAAAAAACCTGAGTTTTTTTTTTTCTCACAAAAACAAAAGGATACCCTTTAGTCCAAGGTATCCTTTAATAATGGAGATAATGCTATTCCAGTTAGTTTTATAAATTCTAAAGGATGAGTTTAAAAATAATAAATATCATATAATATGAATGACCCCACTGTCAGGTGATCAAAACCTTTTGTCTTACTGATGTTAAGCAAGTGGACGTCATTAAAGGTTTAGCCCTCGCTGTATTTTTTCAACTGACAGAGGCATTTTATACTGACCCCAATGCCCCAATGAGCGATTTTCAATGAATTAATACACGCCTGCATCAACTGTTCTGTTTGTTTCCAAATCTACAGAAACGTATGAACATTCCTTATGTAGAAATAAAGATACAATTATAAAAAAAACAAACAAACAGAATGAGCACTTAAAACTAAATAAACATCTAAAGAGGTTACTTTTTTTACCATTACTGTTTCGGGACTCTAGACCAACCTGTTAGTTAAAAAGCAAGGTCAGGAAAAGGTTTGTTCTGCTCATTCCAGCACAGGCCAGGTCACCCTTTACTGTAAAGTGCGTGTGCTCATCATGCAGCAGCTCACTGCGGCAGGTCTGAACAGAGCCCTGTTTAAGACGAGCCACTTTAATGTCCTAACAACAGGAGGAGTGGTGCTCAAAGTCGAGCTAAAGCCGGCGGGCACCGACCACGTTTCTGAGAGAGGGAGATGTGCTCAAGCAACTTAAGGCCCGCGGTGATAATGGATCCCCAGATCCTGACAGAGAATCACCTGGGGATCTGATCGGGTCATTCCAGGTAACAGCAGGGTGTTCCTTGAAGCCTCACTCCTGTATCTGCACATATCAGGTGTCTTTCTGGTTATCGAACACGTCCTCAAACGGATGCTTCCGAGAAGCGATGACAACAGTCCCATAGCTATTGTCTGCCATCTTGGTAATAAAGTAGATAATACTGAGTCACTTATAGAGCAAATGAACCATTTAATTCAATAGCTGTTATTTGCTCTTAGCTGAGGTGACAGCTAGCAATATCTAGCTGTATCCTATGAAGAGTTTATTTCTGTAAGGCAATCCAGTTCTTTTGTCAACAGAAATGATCAGCGGAGAAAGCGTAATTAAATATAAATAAATGACTGAGTGAATGTGATTAATTATCCAAAGCAACATGCATGAGCCTAGAGAGTTCTCACACCCTCCAAGGGCCCGCTGAGCTCTGAAATGTAAAGCGATAGCACAGAGGGAAACAAAAGGTTTGGGCGTTTAGGGCCTTGGGAAGCAGGTGGCTACCACAGTGCCTTCCTGCAGCTGAAATATTAATGCAGAAATCACATTCCTCTGCTGTTCGGAGCAGCTGCGGAAGCCGTTGAGGACAGCTGAGGTTGAAGGAGGCGCTGCCGATCCGGGTCCGGAGAAAAAACCCGGCCTGATCCGACAGCGCTCGGTAATCTGCTGCTTTCACCGGTTTATCAGCCGGCATTGTCTGGAGGAGAGTGTCTGTGGCTGCATCTGCACAAGCAGATGCAGATTAAACACTTAGGACCAAAATGAACAAGAGTGTGTGAAGTTCACCGGGTTCGCTTCCTGACACCTGATCTCCATCTACAGCTGCAACTATTCCGTTTTATTAATCTGCTGATAGCTTTCCAAGTCGGCTCTTTCGGCACTTAAGACTTCCGAGTGTGTTAGGAAAGTCACGTTTGCCATTCTTAATAATTATTTCATACATTTAGCCAATTCAACAAGATATTCTGTAGCATTCTCACTTTTTAAGATGCTAATTTCTTTGGTGGCCTTTAAATGTTTAACATACAACACATAAACATAAAGTCTTTTATTTTTTATTTTAAAGATGAGAAAAGAATTTACTTTTTTAAAAAGTCACTTGACTTTTGAGATTTGTCTTTTGACAAATTATGATATAAATGCTAAATTACCACCTATTTACCACTGATGAGCAGATGGTGGAAATTCAAACTGAAACTAAATAAGAAAATGATGACAGTCATTGAGAGCCGATCGGCCTGTAAAGTGCTCCATCGTAGTTTGTGCTGAGAGAGACACAGGGTTACGTGGGGTTTGTTGTTGCTGTGTGGAGACTATGGGCAGTGGTATAAAATAGTCACGGTGCTGGTGCTTGTGGTGGTGGTGATCTGCTGGCGGGGGGCCATGGTTGTGCTCTCGGTTCCACTCTAACACACTTGGCACCGGCCCGCTCGGTAACCTGACACCTTGGCGAACGGACAGACAGACAACTAGAGCACAGAGTTTACAGTCAGGAAACTTCAAGCTGCGACCGTGTGATGAGCGACGCTACACAGGAAACCAGACCGCTGCCACCCCGACTCACATGTCGGAACACAGGCTGATAGAGGAGTGCAAAAGAGTTCTTGCTCCTTCAGGGTTAGCGTCTGCCCCGATCCATGCAGCTTCTGTGCGGCTCTTAATCTTGAGATCTTGTTTCCGCTCTAAACTAAAATCGCTAATTAAGCTGGACTCTACCTTAATTAGCGTCATTGTTCGGTGACTCTGCGAAGACCTGAATCTCCAGCTGGGAGACCCAGAGAAACAAAGAGCTGTGCTGGAAGACCTGCTTTCGGGCACAGGTCAGAAACGGTGAATATTGACATGCCAGCCTGGTGCGGCTCGGGGAGCAGAGACGTGTCCCGTCCTGCTCCCTGAGCCTATCCAGCTAAGATAAGGCCCCTCATTTGTGTGATGTCTGCTACCCCTGACTTATCTACCGCCTTTCCTCTATGGACGATGGCGAAGAAGAAACAATTAAAAGAAGTATAAGTATATTAAAGAGTCAAGACAGCTTTTCTTTAATTGCTCAACTGTACAGCAATGCTGAAGTGATTTCCCATGAGGTTTCTTAAGAGATCCCCAAACAAACCACATGCTCCACACACACTGGAGAGAGGCCTTGCATGCAGAATACAAAGCAAGCCTTATCTGCAATCAGCGAGGAGTCGAGGAATGGAAGGAGTACGATCGTTAACCGCTCCATTTATTCTTAAACCTGCTTCCTCTCTGTCAAGACTTTCTGTGTTCCAGGAAACGGTTTGGTGCACAACAAGAGACACAACCCAAACGAACAGATGCAAACAGACTTAATCAGAGGGGCCACCAGCACAGGGAAAACATCCCCCCCCCCATGTAAAGACTTCATAATTTTCAGAGCTGTGTCTTTCAGCTTCAGTAAAGAGGGACAGCACTTTCACTTCCTCACGGGGCCGAGGCCTCGGGTCACTGGTGGGTTAGACTGGAACAGGCATAAATACCGGAAAATCAAAGTCAACGGTCACTTGTTTTTATTTTATCTGTGAGTGCCCTAAAGTGATCTGACTTCTACCACGCACCAATAAACGTGTTTTTCGTGCTGATTTTTATCTTTGTGCCTACGTGTTAGGGCAAACTTTCGCCCTGTCAGCGTGACCATAAACCTGTGTTGCCAGGGCAAGAGATCAGGCTAAAAGGGGCAATAAAAGCACTGTCGCAGGTGGATGTGGCCGAAGCTGACTGGCTAACCAAACACATGTCAGTACGCCCTGATATTTATGAGAGTTCATGTTTGAGGTCGTTCTGCCGGGAAAACAGAGGGCGTCCTCACACGAGCAACTGCAGAAACATTTACACAGCTAACAAACTCAGAATAGCTTTCCTTTTTCACCTGTTCAACCGCAATTCGGAGAGAAATTCTCTAAACTTATCTGATTATTTATGATTATACACCTTTACCTTTTGGACCAAACTGATTAAGATTACAAAGGAACATCACAGCTAGTAACCTAAAATCAATCAATCTTTTCAGTCCCTTTTCCAGTTCTGATGGCGATCTGCGAGTCCCTTTTGCAGAAAGAAGAAAAGCCCTTTGCATTCGCTACCCCCACACACCAGCTGTACTCACTTCCACACTCACTACCATCCTCAAAAAAACGTCTGGATCTTCAATTAGCCAAAAACCAAGTGAACGTTTGGCCTACGGATTTACACCCCAGGATGTTAAGGTATTCAGAAAATAAGAAATCTCCCTCATGTGTCTAAAGAAAACAGTTTGGTTAGCTGCAAGCTCAACAACTCTGCAGGCCTGAGAGAAAGCCAGGTGTGCAGCTCAGAAGCTACCATGTGATGACACGGCAGACTCAGACTCCATAAATCACGCTGCCTTTCAGATATTTTCCAACGGTAGATTTCAGAAAAGAACACAGCAGCAGAAAAAAAAAAAAAAAAAAGGTGCATTTAAAGGAAAAGGGATTTCAACATATTTAACACCCACTTCTGCCCTGGTTCGGCCTCTGTACTCCCACCTAACACTCCCATCTGCCATTCACCGAGGGCTTATGATGCTGCAATCTGGGATGCTGAGATTATATGTGGAAAAGGCAAGGGAGGGTGGAGCTGACGGGTGAGGACTGGAGGAGGGAGGAAGGAGAAGCGGACTGTGTTCGACATGGACTCATCCTGAATGTTGCTCGATACTACGCTGCCTGTGGTTACGCTGAGGCTCGATCAGCCACAATCTGCGCAAACCAGTGACATAACGACACCGAGGAGAAACGAGGACCGCGACACGGGCTTACACAGAACAATCTGACGTTTCGCAGAGCCCAGGCTCGTTACTACTCGTCCCCAGTTGCACCCAAACATACCGCGCAAGCCACGGGAGACATCCACCTCACACTCATTTGTGTCTACGCAAGCAAAACTGGAAATAACCAGTCAGCCTTCTCATGTAATCTACAAAATAGGACAAAGCAAAGGTCCTCTGCACCTAAGAGAGATAAAACACCAATAAATACAGTTTTTTTATGTTCTTACTGAGTCTTCCAGTCCAGAGGAGAGGATGTAAATATATGAGAAGACACCACGGTAAGTGGGTAACGGCCAAGGGCTGCCTCCACATGCAGCTACAACATGCTGAATCACCGTGTTAAGCTCCAACAGCTGACTCTCCACAGTGTGACAGCTCTGATCCGTGATTCAAGGCCAGTCTTTTTTTACAAATAGTAAAGACCATCCCAACAAGACGACATAACCACTGTTATGTCCAACTTCAAAACTCAGACTGTCCCTGCCTCAGGAAAAATCTTTATGTCCTTTAATGGCATAGAAGGGGCAAACACCAATCTCATTTTGGCAATACAATTTTTGGTTTTGTTTCTGCCTTCATGATTACATTTCAGTGGGCTCCCTGTACAAGATGACCCCACACTGACCCATTACATGAGAAACTACAGTGCATTATCCTTCATATAGACAATTTTGCCTTCTTTAGCCAGCGAACGGATCTCCTCTGGACGGCCACATATGCAGAACAGCTCCTTATTTAAATTCACCGGGAATATTGAAACGAAGAGGCGGCAGATTCAATTTGAGCTGAGTCGAGCTGCTGGCATTACGGGACGATGCGCACACCCTCGACTCGGTGCGAGTTACAAAGATTCGCCACCGACACCCACCTCTGCACAGACCTCTGTAGAGGGGATGGTTTGACAACTTTGCAACAGCAGAGATTAAAAGGTAAGATGGGGCTAGTGTGTTTTTAGTCCCTCACCCCCAGCTGTGGCCTGTCTGTTTGCTGGGTCAGCCTGACTGCTGTCAGTCTGTACCTTTAGCAGACTCAGTGAGTGCACGACCCGCATGCCACAGTTTTGTGTACTTTGAAGATTCTAATGATCAAAGCAGGTCAGCATGATCTTAGGCTTTGAAATTTTATTTTTGGCTCTTTATGTTGAGTCTCATTGCCTATGATGATTATAATAATAATATTAATAATAATACACCTCCAATAATAATAAATCAAATTTTTCTATTGCTTTTTTTGACACTCAAAGATGCTTCACAAGGAAAAAAGCGAAAAAAAGCTGACCAAATGGTCATTTGGACAGAGGAACTGGGGGAAACGGACCGGCGCGACAGCAGACGACTGCGCCGTAATCCTTTAACATGAGATAATAACACTTGAACTGCATTATCCGCTGGAACAACGATCAACAAAAGCTGCATTCACCGTAGAAACGGCCTCTCACTGACGCGGCAGAATCCCTGCGGTAGGGTGGCACACTTCTCCAGCCGCCCCTGCCGTCCTCATCACCGCGTGGGGAGCACATCGCTCTGCCCCCCCACGGCGTTCCCTTGATCAGCAGGGACATTAATCCTCTTGTTGACTCTGCACCTGTACCAGCACGGGTCTAACTCCTTAGTGATCAGCACAATCTACGCGGCTGAGACTGAGTGTGCACGCTGGTAGCGGGACCCCCCCCACCGCCCCCCCACCCCATCCGCCCCAAAGCTGCAGAGCTGCTGACCGAGCGAGCCGGGGAGGCTGACTGTATCGACGGCTGATTAGAGTGTGGTGGAGGTGGGGTGGAACTAAAGCATCCACAGCTCGCCTAATTACAGACATAATGAGTCCTCAGCTACAGTCCAAGTGGACGGAGAAGTCTCTGGAGATGAGGAGGAGAGACAGGGTTCATAAATCACCCTTTCTGTTGTCCTGGCCACCCTACGCACAAGCATGCAAAAAGGAGGTCGGGACGACTTCTACCTGATGACAATTACCTGATCTGCTCTGCCAGGAAACGCATAGAGTGACATTCATCTTGAATACACGGCGTCAGTAAATCTAATAACCCACCGCCTTCAGTGCAGTCTCAGTTGGACAAATCAGGGGAGAATCCGCAGGGCAAAGAGGACGGGTGATATATAGGGACAACTGCGTCAGCTTCGGATGAGAGCACTGACGTGCTTAGATGACTTTTATCGTGTCCAACACACTTCTATTCTATAAAACAACACGTCCACCCAAATGATAGAGATGGACATCAGCAGTTTTACTTGCACGCAGACAGAAATCTATCACATTCAAATAGCCGTGCACTTCCCACTGGGTCATTTTCAATGATCTGGACAATTTTTTTCACGTTTGCTGCATCAAACGTCTGGACAGTAAAGTATGACGGGTTCGGGCTTATGGGAAACTGATTAACGGTATTTTCAAAGTCGCGGGAGCAAATGTGAGGAGAGGAGGGATATGATCAGCATCCGATTCTTACCTGTAATGTACATGTGTGACTGTAGGAGGCCTGTAGCCAAAAATCCAGGTCTGGATGTCCATGGGTCTGGCGGCTGGGTAGGCTATGGTCATGTCTATAACCCACTGCAGGCCTTTACGTTTGTTAGCTGTCAGGAAAGAAACAGAAACACCAAACGCAATGTGTCAGGGACAAAAAGGGACAAAAACGCGACAACACACTTGTGCTTGAGAGCTTTTTTTTTTTTTAAAGGTCAGAGGTCATCAGACTCGACTGGAGCAGATTCAGAATCAGTACTCTGGCTCCTCAGCTTTGCGACTCTAACCATCACGCGTCTCTGATGGATTTTCAGGCGGCTTATTAAAATCTGGCCACCTGAAAAGAGAAGGGGCGCAAAATAAACTGAAAATCCTAAGAAAACCTGGCCTGTGGCTGCTGTCTATTTTAAGTAACTCCAAAGCTGACATTTGTCTTCAACTGATTTTAAAAGGCTGCCTCTTACAACTAAAGACGCGTTAAAGTTAAACCGAAAGCTCTGCCGTTTTCCCGCCTTAGTCTAATCTGAACACACTGGTTTGACTTTTCTGTATTTATTTCTATCCAATTACACATTTAATGATTTTTTATTTAAAAAATATTTGTATTTGCTGTGTCTAAGAAAACACACAAAAGCTCATCCATCAAGAGTTTGTTCATTGGTTTATTAACTGAAAAGACAAAAAGGAAGCTAATCTGAAAATGTAGCCAATTAGAGCAAAGCTTTTTCCCCCCCCGATGCGAGTCACATGTATTTCTCAGCGTATGGTGGACTATCATTACAGGACAGTCTGAGGGCTTCTAATTAAGTGAGCTGGTGTTTGGTTGCACAAGCAGCTGCTTGTTATAAAACATTTCCTAAGAGCAGGGAACAGCTTCACGCTCCGCTAACTTTTGCACAGGTGAAAAGACTTTCTAGTGTAATAAAAATTGCCCATGTGCGATGATCATTTCAGATGGGATAATCAAATGACAGGAAAAAATGGTGGTTCCAGATGGCATGTTGTAAGCAGGGCCACAACTAAATACTACAGCTTCTCCGTCCACGAAAACGGCAGCTTTGTCTATCCGCAGATCTGAAAGTATTCTCCTTTCCGAGTCCTCCAAACGTCCTCATTAACCCCAAGCATCAGCTTGTGCTGGAAAAAGTGACATGCTTATCGTCGGTTTGAGGTGTTTATATGCCAAAGGAGATAGTATTGCTATGTAGAGATGGATGTTTTCTTCTAATCACCATGATGATGTGATTAAGTATAAAGGACTGGTTGCTATAGCAATCCCCATCTGCGTGCAAATACAAACTTATGACCTGTCCAGGAAAAAAAAAAACGTTTCAAAACTTGTAATAGCTTAGCGGCACCCCCTCTCATGGAGCTTTTCAAAATGTGGGTAAAAGTTGGTTTAAAAAGCAACTCTGCTATTAGTATGCATTCTTTAAATTCTACTTCTTTCCCCCCCCCGCATGTAAATTAACTCCAGTTGCCATCCTGCAGGCTGCTCTTTAACATCTGACAGTGCGTTAGAGTTTCACAAAGCTGAATACTGTTTGTCGGATATGGAAAAAAAAGCAAACACCAGCAGCCTCTGTCAGCAGAAATAACCCCGAAAACGTGCCTGGTGTGAAGGGCTGCAGCCAGATTTCACAGTCTGGCCCCGGTCGGGGCCCAGTGTGTGCTACGGCGCAGGCTTCTTTAGTTTAAGCAAATATGCCACACGATGTGGCAAAGCAAAGGTAAATCTTATAACAGACTGCCACACACACACTGACTGGACTGCAAACTTTGGCCTGTAACTGAGTGGGAGAGTGAGGATTAAAACAAAAGATGGATCGGCCCAAATTGCTGCCTGTTCCTTCTGCTCCGTCTGTTGGCAGCGACGCACAAATACAGACCAGATGTGTGTACACACAAATCCAGAATGTTTCTCCCATTGCCAGGTGGATCAAGCCATGCATGCATGTGATTCTTTATTTCTACAACCCGATCGCCGACCTCCTACTGTCCCACGAACTGGAAGGAAACACTCCCCCAATCAGTGCATATAACTATTGTTAGCAGAACAACTAACAAGTCGTGTAATTTTTATGTAATATATGCCTTACGTGGTGCTTACACTGAGGTCGGGGAAGTCAAAACACATGAAATTACTTCTTGTTTTATCGCACCAGATCTTGCGTGTGAAAAAACCCCGCCAAGAATCTAAATAAGCGGTATTGTCACATATTGGTCTGTTACTACAACCAAAGAGGTGTTGGTTTTAAGCCACTGTAATGATGAAACCTCTGGGTATAAGATATTATCTTTTATCTCTAACATTTAGAGCTAGTGTGAAACTGTGTGTGAAATACTGCATGTTTGCTGAATCAATAACCACACTGCGGTTCTAGAACTCACTTCTTAATCTCTGAGTGGGGATACTTATTTTCTTCCTGCGTTGAAGGAGGATGTAGTCCATCTGACAGTTTGTTTGTGCTCTCATGAATCTGCTTGGCTTGTTAATTACCATCACTGAATGCTGTCTAATCCAGTTTCACAGCTTGACTATTGCTTCTAATTAGGACTTCAAAGGCCAACTTGTCTTCACCCTTCATAAGAAATGCTTTGGATGGGTAGTAAAAATCTGACCTTTAAGGATGCATAACTTTACTCACGTAACAAGTTATTTTCAGGTGTTATGTCTCCCTCAATAGAGAATGAAGCCGCTGATACGAAAGCCGGCTAATTTATTGTTTTTAATCTGCTGCGTTTAGGACCTATGGGAGTGGCGAACACCGCTTATCCCCGTGTGGGTAATTTGATGCAGGCCTCTAAGTGTTGCTCAAAGGCCAGAGAGAAGAGCCCTGTGCTAGGGTGTCGTGTAGGTAGCGACAAACAATACTGTAATAACAGCTGCCGAGGTCATTTGACATGGGTAGAGGAGGAAGTTCCACTGGCAGGTATCTGGCACTATCGGGCTACTCTGCTAGTTAGTCCAAACACTTGAGAGCCCACACCTGTCTCCTCCAAGTGTGGATGATAACTCACTTACCTGTGAGTCACATGATACTCTGTTCCCGCCCTAAATGACTCACAAGAGTAAACTTTGCTTAACCGACAACTGTAAATCTCATTTTATATCACTAACCCAGTCTGCGAGGCACATAGAGCCTCCGCAGCCTCTGAAATGCACCGACCACCGGTGCCCTGTGTGCTTTTCATTTGCAGTCGTCCGTTTAGCCCCGATGACATTGCATGGTGGAAACACGGTGGCACACATATTTACTTCAGCTCCCATTTTCTCCAAGTGGCCCATTTGTTTCCGAGTGAGTCAGCAAGCTATGGGCAACCTCTGCGTAGCATCAGGGAGGGTCAGAGGGAGACGGAGTAATGTCTTTGATCAGGGACGTGCAAAAACACGGCACTGGACACGGAGGGACATGGCGTTCTCCTGGGTATGTGTGTTTTCCTGCCCTGGGTTTTAACGCCATTAGCTACGTTCCAGGAGAAGGTCGAGCACCACTGCGGCAGCTCACCTCCTCTCCTCCTGCCCTGCTGGAACATAGGAGAGGACAAGAGGCAACAACGCTTTGGGATCTTGTATATATACGTGCAGCCCCAGTGAAAAATAATAATAATTTTAAAAAAAGGGAAATCTTCATCAGTAAGGATGTGGGATTAGGCCTTCATTAGCTTGAAGCGTAAATGTTTATAAAAATAGCCTAAACCCTGGGGTTGTCAGCCTCTGTCATCATTAGTGTTTGTTGACCCTGATAAGGTTCTGGAATTTCTAGACGGACGAAAGAAAAAAAAAAAAAAAAACACTCAAAAAAAGACAGCTGTGATAAACCATCTGTGCTCATCGTCGTAAAATTCTATATACAAGCTTCTCTTTTGGCCTGACTGTCCTGCAGAGAGAGATGGGCAACATCCGGCTTTTAGTGCTGAAGCTGTGGGACGCAGAGCTGTGTTAGCAAACTGGAGGAAGGCTGAAGTTCACAGTAATGCTCGTCTCCAAGTCTCTTAAGTTTACTATTAACACAGCACACCTTTAAAATGGATTTTGAACAGATGCCAATGAGAGAGGCGCGGTCAGTCCACTGAGTAAAGAGAGCCCTCATTAAAAATAATATGTTTGCGGCCCTTGCAACTCTATTGTTGCTGAGGATCTCTCTGGGAGGGGGTTAACCAAATATTCTGGATCATTTTGCAAAGAATAAACCAAAACATTAATGTCGGCGTTAGAACGCAATCAAGATTTGAACGATTAGCATTTTTGACGCAGGATGAAAAGAGGAAGGAATTTGCTTTGGTAAACTTAAAAATTCATCAATTGGGAGAATACAAAAACCTTCTGAGGCTTTTTACGTTGATTTAGTATGGCAAGACACTCCACCTGGGAATGATTAATTATAGATGCAGCAGTAGTAAACAGAAACACCTCCGTCACTGACTGGGCGAGAATTTAACAACCCTAAATGAAAGTGATGTGGTAACATCTGGATCTAGATGTATCCAGGTGATTTGGAGTTAAAAAAAAAAATGTTTTGTCTCAGAGATTGTTACATTAAGTAGTGACAGTAAAGAATTAATAAATAAATAAAATCCTTTCCTAGCTTGTGGAGTCTAACGCTATCTTCCTGCTCATTGGCTGTATTTAGGGCTGGTCTCTTGATACAAAGAATTACTCTCTTGCAAATCACCACTGGGGTTTTCAGGAACACTGATGCAATTTCTGGCACCTCTGCATGTGTCACCCCCTTCGTCGCCTGGCAAGCTTCACCACAAGTCGCCTCTCATTTAAAGCAGGATTCCCGGAGGATGACGGGACACAGAGGGGATGAGCTAACGCTGCATGTTTGGAGCGGGCGCTATCCCGGGCCCTCTAACCGACACGAAGGCCACCTTTGATGGAGAACCGGAGTGAGCCGTGTACAGAGGAGTTCACAAAAACTGCGAAGGAGGAAAGAAATCTTTGCCAGACTTTTACCGGAAATAGCATTCTACTTTTCGAGACCCAGATACCTCAGTAACAAAAAAAAAGAAAAAAGGATACTTGAGAAAACACCTTGCGAAAAAAAACCAGCACACAGGGGTAAATAAAATGCTTAGAAAACAAATTTAAGCTTTAGCTTTTCAGAGGTGGTGGTCTTCTGGTTACCTGTCTGGTTTGGGGTCCCGGCGTCGCCGTTCTCCTGTTGCGCCGACAGCGTTTTTAGGATGACGTGGGTGGCCCCGAGACGGGGCAATGTGACGTGGGTCAGATGGGGGAGAGAGTGCTTCTTTGCAAACAACTGGCTGGTTTCCCGCCTTTTCCTAAGGAAGCCACCCTCGGGGAACAGCACGATCCACTTCCTGTCCCGGTTGTGGTAGTATTTGTCTAGATGATCTTTCAGGTAAACCAGCTGTTTGTCTCTGTGAGCTTTACCCTGAAGAGAAATAGAACACACGTTGAGGACAAAGCACATGCAACGTGGAATCACAACGGGCTCGGTATGATTGTAAGACTGGTCTTTCAGCCTCGAGGCTTCTTTGGCTCCGCCGCGACATAAAAGGTTCAGGAGGTCACGGCTGCCAGCAGCAAAACCCAAACACAATGGAAAAATATGCTGCAGCGCTCCGATTTCCCCTTGGGCTAAATAAAGCCTTTTTTTTCTTTTCATTTAAAATCATGGCATGACTGAAATGATGCAAAACGTGACAACATCAAGCACATTAGAAGGGACGGGGTGAGGAGGAGCCGGATTGATTTTTTACTAAGGCCTGGTCAAATGTCATTTTAAATGGATTTGCTCAGTCACGCTCTGTGTGTGTGTGTGTGTGTGTGTGTGTGTGTGTGCATTTAAGTGAGCACATGGGTTCGTAGCAGTATAAGCTCCATGACAATGTTGAAATTGCAATATTCAGTTTTCCAAAATACGAAAAAAAAGACTTATTTAGAACCACAGCAACAAATCCCCTGACATCCAGAGTCTAAGTGGCATGAGGAAGTCCGGCAAACACCAAATAATACAACATAGATACATAATAGCACAAGGATCAGAGTGGACTAATTCATCAGAAGGTTCATCTACACGTCACCTGTCTGATATCAACAACTGGCTCAGCGTCATTTCAACACCAACACATAGTTCAGTCAGATTCACTCAGTTAACACTTACTTGGTCCAGGAGGCTAAAGCAAACAGGCCATTTCTGCAACATCTTCATACTTTTATGAAGGGCATAGTGCTCAGGCCAGGCGTGCCTATTTCTAAGGGTTGGTTAAACGTTCAGGTCAATAGTGGGTTTTGGCCGTTCCTGATATAAATGGGGTGGAAGAAATGCGGAAATCAGACGGTGAAATCTGTGAATTTAGACAAAACCATAAAACGCCCTCTTAAAACACCTGAAACTCTTTCTACAGACTAGATTTAATCAGCTGTACCTGATAAACTGCCAATCCAATGCACGTATATATGAATATTTAAGAAGCTCCTTAATTTTTCATATGTGCACTAGCTAATTTATAAGAGATTTATTGTTCTAAATATAGAGAAGATTTATGATATGCTATAATTCATGGCAACATGTAATTATGGAGCTGTTAACCCTAACCCTGTGGTAATTTAAATGTGCTGTGGGGGCTCAGCCCCACATCAGCGTGTGCACAAATAAATGAAAAGGGCATCAGCCAAACGATAACGTCGGTTTTGGTTGCAGTTGGTTGCAAGATGTGGAGAAGGATCTCCTTACACTATTGTAATACCAAAATGATGAGCGGAAAGGGAGGTCCTTACGAGCAAGAAGCAAAAAGAAGTTTCAGTGGAATTAGAGTCCTCAGTAAGTGACAGAGATAATGGAGATAACACGCAGCTACATGTCTCACGGCTGCCTGTCTGGTATATGCGAGAATCCGCATTCTTTAGAAAACACCAACAATCTGAAGGTCTGTGAAAAAAGCGTTTTATGGTGTTTTCTGTATATTAGCCAGCTGTTTCCCATGAAACTGTTAATAATGACTACAATTAAACGACTCATTCATAGAGAACGAATAAAAGAGAAACACGAACCAAGGTCATGTATTTCTGGCATTGTACATTACTTCCTCAGAAGGAACTGTCTGAATACTTTGTACTTCAAAGATGATTTATCACTGTCTGGATCCAAATGAATGAATAAAAATTCATTCACCCTCAATGTGTTTTTTGTATTTTCTTGACAAAGACCTGCCAGTAACCGCAAGACTATATAAACTCGTTTCAGATCCCGGAAAGATAGCGGACTCAAGGTAAAAAAAGAAAACAACCAAACAAAACAAAACAAAAAAAACAAGGTAAAATGTGGGAACGTCCAACAATGCTGGGGACGTGCTGGACAGTAGATGTTTTAGGTGGCTGGGGCAGCTGCTGGCGGCGTATATGTGTGAAGTCTTCAGAGTAGGGATGTCAAGAATGTACACACAGGAATGCCGGGGGGCAGGGGTGGGGGGTGGGTGGGGGTGTAATGACAGAGAGAAGATGGCAGAAATTACCCTACCTGCCCAGCCTTTCTACAGCAGCCTGTCTGGCTGTGAGCAGGCTCAGTGTGCTTCACCCTCAACTCTGTCCCTGATGTGAACTCCAACAGCAAAGTGTTGACACAACCTTAGAAAAAAACCCCTGTAATTCCCACTTGTCGTGATCTTTCTGCAGCTACAAATAAGAGGGCTGTTGGCAAGGGTTTTTCTGTTTCTTTTTTGACAAAACAGGCCAGAGGAGGCCTGTCGGCAGCCGATCGTGGCGCCGCCGATGCTCGTGGGGCTCCTCAGCTCTTGCATTAAATGACACTTTTACAGTCTTTGTCCATATGGTGCTGCTGGCTGCGAGTTCTGTTTACGCAGAGCAAATAAGGCAGATGGCGCAAACATTCTGATATCTCAGGAAAAGTGAACAAAGCTTGCTGGATTTGCTGCAGCATCGCTCTAACAGCGTGGAGGGAACAACACCATTGGGTTAGGGCGCGCGTGCATCCCTACATCCCTCCCCTTTGGTTGTGTGTTTCCCACTTCAGTATGTATGAGTGGACTTGAGTGTGTACGCTGTGTCCTCTTTTCTGGTCGCCATGGCATTGAGGGTGTCATGGGCTTCAGGTCCTTTATGTTCACAAGGTGCACTTTAACAGCCTCGACTGACTATATCATGAATTCGGAGTCTTCAGCTCAGACTTTCTGTTCTTTTTTTCCTTTCCTGCAATTCTTTTAGCCGACATTGTTCCGTCTACATTAAGGACAAAGGATGACTCTAGATCACCTGACGCATCTGTCATTTCTGGATATACAGTGGTCTGCAAAAGTTTGGGCAACCTTGTTAATTTCAATGATTTTCCTTCATAAATCATTGGTTCTTTGGATAAAAAAAATCAGTTAAATATATGATATAGGAGACAAACACAGTGATATTTGAGAAGTGAAACGAAGTTTATACCATTTACAGGAAGTGTGCAATAATTGTTTTAACAAAATTAGGCATGTGCATAAATTTGGGCACTGTTGTCATTTTACTGATTTCAAAATCTTTAGAACCAATTATTGGAACTCAAAATTGGTTTGGGAAGCTCAGTGACCCTTGACCTACATACACAAGGCGAACCCAATTATGAGAGAGTATTTAAGGGGGGGCAATTGTAAGTTTCCCTCCTCTGTGAACCTTCTCTGAAGAGTAGCGACATGGGAGTCTCAAAAGAACTGTCACATGACCTGAAAACAAAGATTGTTCACCATCATGAATTAGGGGAAGGATACCGAAAGCTGTCTAAGAGATATCAGTTGTCTGTTTCGACAGTTAGGAACATAGTCAGGAAATGGAAGACCACAGGCACAGTTCAAGTTAAGGCTCGAAGTGGCAGACCAAGAAAAATCACGGATAAACAGAAGCAAAGAATGGTTTGAACAGTCAAAGTCAACCAACAGGCCAGCACCAAAGACATACAACATGATCTTGCTGCAGATGGAGTCATTGTGCATCGTACAACTATTGGGCGCACTTTACACAAGGAGATGCTGATGCTGGAGAAGCCTTTTCTCCGCCCACATCACAAACAAAGCCCTTTGAGGTATGCTAAAGCACATTTGGACAAGTTGGAATAAGGTGCTGTGGACTGATGAAACTAAAATTGAGTTATTTGGACATAACAAGGGGCGCCATGCATGGAGGAAAAACAACACAGCATTTCTAGAAAAACACCTGCTGCCTACAGTAAAATTTGGTGGTGGTTCCATCCTGCTGTGGGCCTGTGTGGCCAGTGCAGGGACTGGGAATCTTGTTAAAGTTGAGGGATGCATGGATTCCACCAAATATCAGCAGATTCTGGAGACCAATGTCCAGGAATCAGTGACAAGGCTGAAGCTGCGCCGGGGCTGGATCTTTCAACAGGACAATGACCCTAAACACTGCTCGAAATCTACTAAGGCATTCATGCAGAGGAAAAAGTACAACGTTCTGGAATGGCCATCTCAGTCCCCAGACCTGAATATTATTGAAAATCTGTGGTTGACTTAAAGAGAGCTGTCCATGCTCTGAAACCATCGAACCTGAATGAATTAGAGGTGTTTTGTAAAGAGGAATGGTCCAAAATACTTCCAACCAGAATCCAGACTCTCATAGGAAGCTATAGGAAGCGTTTAGTAACAAAAGGGGGATCTACTAAATATTGAGTTTTTTTTTTTTTTTTGTGGTGCCCAAATTTATGCACATGCCTAATTTTGTTTAAACAATTATTGCACACTTCCTGTAAATGGTATAAACTTCGTTTCACTTCTCAAATATCACTGTGTTTGTCTCCTATATCATATATTTAACTGATTTTTTTTATCCTAAGAACCAACGATTTATGAAGGAAAATCATGGAAATTAACAAGGTTGCCCAAACTTTTGCAGACCACTGTAGGAAATAGATCCTTAATATCCTCAATAAACAGCCTCCATCAGTCTGACTATCTTAAAGACCCAACAAACTATTCAGACTGTTGTAGAGTTTCATCTTATTCTGAAGTGCGTTTGAAACACAGACTCAGTTGGTTTTAGCTGGGCTCTACAAACCTCCCTGAAACTCCAATGAACGTGACTTTAATTAAATTCTGTCCAGGCTCAAATTATCCACTCAGACTTGTGATGCTCCAGGAATTTCGAGACCCGTGGTAGGCTCCACGTGCTCCGGAGTGGAAACTCTCTTTCTAGCTGCTCCCACAATTAAAAAAAAAAGGTGTTGGTCTGAACCAGCAGAATCAGGCAACCCTCCGACAGCAGACATCCTTCTCCAGACAGGGCGCTAACAAATCTGCTGTCCAGCTGAAAAGCGCTGATGAGTTTCACCTCAACATTGGTAGATCTCAGCAAAAAAACAAAACAAAAAAAACAAACAAACCAAAAAAAAAAACTGCCCTTTCAGCTACTGGGGGTGTATGAGGTCCGTTCCGTCCTAAAGGTCTGTGGTTTTAAGCCCCAGATTCTGAGCAGAACGAGGTGTTGACAAGCGAAGAAGGGCGGCCTTTTATCCTGCAGTGACAAGTGCTGCTGGTGGGGCTTAATGTGCCAACCACACAAAAAAAGAGACGGTCAACCCAAGGAGGACACAGTGTGGCAATGTTGTGCGTGTTGTGTTGGGATTCAATGTAAAAGAACAACAAAAGACAAACATCACCATGGTGTGTGTTACCTGTCTGATGAAAAAATCCCCATGTATGAGGGACACGAGGCCAAAGTTGGTGTACTTGAACACATGGTCCATCAACCACATCATTTTTCGTACCACCTGAAAAAGAGCACAGTGGACATCTGTAAGCATCGCTTGTCTCCTCTTTTTGTTTCTGCCCCCCCGAGAAGCGGCTCGAGCTCATTCGACCCCTCCGAGCAGTTACGTCCTCCCTGACCTGCGCGGATGCAGCGCTGCCTTCCTCCCCGTCCAGGGCTAAGAGGCTAAACTGGGCCAGGGATGCAGTTGTTGAGGCAGATCATGTCATGTTTGTGCAGCCTGGCAGCTCCAGCGTCATGCCGGCTGAAGCCGACACACAAAACACCGCACACAAACGCGCCGTGTAAAATACATAGCCAACTTGAAAATGTGTGGAACAAAAGAAGTCAACACAGACAAATGACTGTGTGCTCTCTGATATCTGGACACGTTTTGCCTTCGTGTCTATTTAAAGAATGCAAAGCAGCGGCTGTGTCGCTCTCTGGACTATTTTGTCGCCTGCTGTGCAAACTGGCATCTTAGTATTTGACTGCAGCAAAAACCACAGCACTGTTTGGCCTGCCGTTCGTCTCCATTGCCTCTTTTAAACGCGTCGGCAGAGTTTCAGGGCAAAACTGAAGCCATGTTTTTATGCAACTGTCAGGAGAATTTGAAGCAGGGTTCTGAAATGTCGCTTCATCGGGCAACATTTCTTTCATCACGAGCTGTCGGAGTCACACCCGGCTGCTTTACTGAGGACGAGGGCCTTGTGGTGGTTAAACACAAACCAGAGTTTGAAGATAACTGGTGACCGGTCTTTTGGACATTTAGAGCCTAATATGAGACACGTTCTTTTTAGGTACCAAAAACAGTCCATCATTCTCACAATATAAAATTTTAATTCAAAATACGTGTACATTTCTTTGGTTACTGTCCACTTTTCCCCTTCTGTGAGTTGCGTCTGTCAACTTTTTGTCCTCTAACGCAAATCAAACAACACAGTAAAACCTGTGTGGTTCTTCAGCGAACTCGCAGAAGAACAAATAATTGCCCTGCAGCCTATTAAAGAGTCTGAATAAAATGGATGAATAATAAATACACTCAACCCGAGAATTAATTTGAAACTGAGGAAAGGCGATCCAACAAAACGGGCCTTTCTCTCATCTAGCTACAAACACTGGCTTATCTTTTAGGCCGTGGGGTCGTATCTAAGTATCCTGGTAACAACCCCTTAGGGTCTGTTCTGTGTTTAAACCGTTGGGGTCATTGACCTCGTCTAAAGAACCGAAATAGGCTCACGATACCCTAATAGGCCTTTATCTAATCTTTTAGATTCCACAAAAAAAACAAAAAAAATCATTTAAACTAGTCGTTTTTTTAGCTTCCCTTTCTTTGTTCCTGTCATGAGCGAGAACTTCTGACTGTGTCCAACATTTTGTAAGGAAGCAGTCCACAGAAATTAGCCTAGAAAAAACTAACCTCAAGGTGATACATGAGAGTGAAGCCAAGATTTTATGAAGCTGCTGTGTGATGGAGTAAAGGCCACCAGCGTGGACAATGAACTGATCAGTGGGCCACTTAGTTCTGTGATGCACCGCTTTAATTATTTTTCTCCTCCTAATACAGCTGGGTCTAAGAGATAAAACAGTACCAAACATCTGTGGTCAAACTGCCGACAAGGGAAACATGAATATCTGGAAACAAAACTGATAGTGAGTCAGTTTGGTGGTCTGAGTGGCTTTTAGTGTCAAGTCTCTTTGCGTCCCGTCATGCAGAAATAATGTGCTTAAAGAGTTATTAAATCATACCAATCTTAAAGAGCCAGACCCCACAGATGAAAGAAGTGGGGTGTGCGGGCAGAAAGCCACGAGCCATTTTCTGCCCGTCAGTGGTGTTTTTGACCAAACATTGTCACAGACATCCTAAGGGAATTGTGTCATAAAAGCTTCCTCGTGCTCGCTACCTGGGCACTCTGCCCTCCAGGTGTGAGGACTTCATATAAAACCAGCAACTCTCTTTTCAAAGGGCTAAATCCCCCAGTTCACTTTTGGTCGGATTAAGAAACAAAACTGGAGAATTCTCACTGTGACACGTGAAAGAAAACTCAGCTGATTCTACCCCGAGTCAGAAAAGAAAGGAAAAAATGAGGTCGACGTGAAAAATAAGCCTTTAAAAACAAACAATATACTAGGGGGGGGGGGGGGGAGGGGTTTGTAATTCCTCTGACTTTGGAGTGACAATGGCGTAACAGCTTTCGGCAGCTGGCCTGTACGCACGGCGCAAAGTGCCCTGCAGCTTTACACTTCTCCACTGCTTTTTATTTATACCGGTGTCACCTGTGCAACCCATCCCCCCCCACACCTTTGCCCTCTGGAAGTTCTTACCGTGCCCTTGTCTTGCAGGCACATCATGAGAGTGCAGACGTCCCCTGTGGACTGGTGATTGACGATGACCATGGCTTCTTCTTCCGAAATAGGCCGCACGTCGTCACCCCACTCTGTGACTGCGAAGCAGAGAGACAGACAGAGGAAATGAACATCTCACACGTTCCCTTTAATGCCATTTCCAGCCTCTGTTGTCACTGAAGCTGGTATAAGGTTGCTGCTTTGAGTAATTCTAAAAAGCCTTTGCTTTTAATGAAGCCCATGACTGGTTTGTCTCACAATAACTTTCCTTGTATGCCCTCTTCTGCCCTCGTTTGGACCTCCTGACTTTTTTTTGTCGTGTCATGGATGAGACTCTTTGTGTGACTCACCACTCGGGATGATCTACAAATCTACGGCCTGATGGATCTTTAAAATTCTGAAGCTACAGGAAGATAAGCAATGATGCCGTTCTGTGTTTCATTTCTTCTGAATTTGACTTTCAATGAGTTCCCAACGTACAGCTGTTTCCTCTAGGAGGTGATACACATGTTGGGGAGTGTTATGGTGACAAGCATGCATCATTTCATATGTTTAATCACAAGTCCTTTGATTCGATTATCCTCAGTCTGAATGTGAATGGAAACGTCACAACAGGCTCAGAGGAGAAGAAGAAACGAGATTACGCGCTCAAACATTTGTTGTTAGTTTGCGTTCATCACTGCAGAGAACTCTTAAGGGAACCTCCCCCCCCATCAAGGCCCGGCAATGAGAAAAAGCAGAAGAATAACAGTTTATGTTTCACTAAGACTCCCTCCCAGTTCATGATGTGGTTATCGAGGTTTAAGATAGCGCCCGAGTCCAAACAAGATAGAAGCGGAAGGCAGGGCAACATACCAACGAGCAATCTGAAGGAGGAACACGGGAACAAGCCTGACTATAACAGCCGGGGTGAAACAATGTCAAGATCCACAAAGTCCAGCTGCCTTCACTCAGGCTCAGTGGATCTGGAATTCGCTTAAAAAGGGTCTGAATTAAGATTCAAATGCAGAATGAAAGAGCACTTCATTTTTGTCTTTTTATATTGAAGAGCTTTGGTTTATGAAGTTATGAAATAACTTTTTTCCCAATTCTGAAATTAAAAACCTTCAACCAGCTTCACAAAAAAAAAAAAATCATCCCACAATAACACTGGAACACTATTAGGGAGGAACTTAAAGAATTAAACTACAACTAAACACACAGTATGACCAAGAGCAAATAGTTTACTCAAGAAGCCAAGCTTTCTTTGCAAGAGCCAGATGGGTGTGTTTTATTTTTCCAACACAGCTTTAAAAGGAAGTGAGATAATATATATCTCTATTTGCAGTTATGTTTCGTGCGAGTACAAGTACAAATGAACGAATTGTGGAAAATTCAAAGTACCGTGAGACATTCCTGATACATAAACTGCTCCATTTGAGGGAAAGAATAAATGAACAGTCCTTCCTTCTGTATGGCAGATGCAACCAGTGATCGGTGACATTGCTCCTCCAGGGAAGGAGGATCAATACATGCTTTAAAAGAGTGACAGGGTGCAGTTCTTTGGTTCAAAAGGGAAGAAAAACTAAACCAGAGAGTTTTAGGAAATAGTATTACACTCCCTCTCAGTTGAACCGCTTGAACCAGACAAAAGCAGGACTTCCACACTCACTTTTGATTTCTGGTACACTAAATGCTGAGGCAGCACTTTAAAACAATACTATTTCTGTATGCTTTGCAGAACTTTTACAATAAAAAAAAACACACACACACAAAAGATCCTTGTACACACGTCATTATTTGCTGGATGGGAACTCCTTACAGGAAGAGAAAGACGATGGGCCCAAATGCTGCCTCGACAGGAGAGAAGGCTCATTTGGAGGTCCAGAATAGCGCCTCCCTGCTCAGTGAATACACAAAAAGCATGGACTTGCATCTGGGAGCACCGGGGCTTTTGTTTGCCGTCAACGGGATATAAATAACGCAAAGCGAAACCTAACTGCAAACTGCAGAGCCAAGCGCTGGCCCATCGAGCAGGGAACGCTGCTCACTGCTCCACGAAGGTCTAATCTACCCACAGCATCAGGCGGATCGTGGACCGACAGTGTTGCGGTGACATGACTCATTTTGTTTTACGGGTTCATAGCCAGCTTTATTCAAATGTCACAGACCGGGTGGATTAATAAATAAGGTGAATTGCTGATGCGCGCAGCAAAACAACGATCAGGCCCTCATCAACCGAGGCTCTTACACATGTCCAAAGTAAACAAACCACAAAAAAGAGACAAGATCAGATAAATGAAACCTTTATTCATCTCAAAGCGAGACATTCCAAATTAGTTTACGTTAAGCTCTGTCCTCTCGTAGCTGTTGCGGGGCTAAGCTTTGAGACTGAACAGTCAGGGGTTTCCATACGTGGCTGCCGCCAGCCAAACTGCCACCTACTCACCTGACTCCAGCTGGCTTCTTTATCATATGCAAGCACAATTTATGTCTAAGAGCCTCCGGTTCACAACAGTTCAAACCACAGAGAGCTCGATGCCGGAAAAGCGTTGTGTTCTCGGGGGCCCACACAGGCTGCTTTCTGTTCAGTGGGACACAGCTGGGAGGTTGTGGCCCACCAAACAGAAACTGGAAAGCTGTCATCTTATACGCAGCATCTTTTGGTTCGGGTGTCAGGTTTGGATTCTCGTGCATTCTCCTGTGTTAAGTTATTAAAGCTCATTTGTTCCCGTTAGAAAAGGGCCATTTATGTTGAGGATTTTAAAATAATTACTTAGCCTGCAACGTGGCTATTAAACCTGATACACACAGGAAGCTCAATTCTCATGTAATTATCTTGTAAACAGGTGTTAGAATCAGATGCTACTTACAGTGGAGTGCTCTCAAACCTCTGCAGGTAGAACCAGTTTTAACAGGAAACAGCACAGGGGGAACAAATACTAAATAACTCTAAGGATCTTAAATGTATTCGCAACCCCAAATGAACACTGAGGTGGGAAATAAATAAATAAACTTTTTTTCCCCCACTGATCTTTTCAAATCCAAATTCAAAATCTTAAAAAAAGACATCTATGGTAACAGACTTGTGATCCTATGTGATCAGTTAACAGACCTGTGCCATCATTCTGGGACAACAGAGCTTCTGCTTAAATGCTGTCATCAGAGTAAATCTGTGAAATATTCTCTTATGTCATCAGGAGTCCACTCTGAGAACAGACTATTCCACTACCCATTCATCTGATTGTTGTACGTGTGGAGGCTGCGACACAGGTGGAAACGGAGCTTATGCGAGATGACGGAGGGGGGAAAGGCTGCTGGAGGACACAGGAGCTTCCTTTGCAAATGAAACACACTCCAGCTGATCTGGATATTAACAGAGAACCAGCGAGGTGAAAAGATTACTGGTGATCCTCTTACTTTAGAGCAAGTCTGACCAGTTCCAGTTCTGTGTAACGCTAATGTTACATCAGTGAGGCTGATTTGTTTAGGGGGAGCTTCCTCTGTATGGGGAACTTAAACCGACGCCCGCTGAGAGCGCAGGATAAACAATAACGCAGTCTGAAATCGTAGTAAAGCTCAGCTGACACGCAAAACAACACAGCCACTGACGGCAGAAGGGAGCAAAAAGCATCTCCAGACCTGCGAACGGGACAAGTGTTTCATAACAGAAAATGACGTGAATGTCCTGGCCGACAGGAGTTGTTCACTTTTCATTAAGTGGAGGAAGTCTCTGATGGACACATGTCATGAGATGATGACAGGAGCTGACCAGGAGCTGACCCATGCCAGAAAGAGGAAATGACTCCCTTTCTTCGTGTTGAATTAGCGTACTGGTCGTGAGCCTTACTATTAGTCACCTGTTCTTCAGTTGGATTTGTTATTTCTTGGAAGCAGAGTTCATGAACCTGGATTTCACTTCGCATCCCGCGTACATCCGATCACAGGTGGACAGCTCTAAGACCAGGTGCTCTGATAAGCTCCATCAATAAAAGGTCAATTAATAGCCACACATCCAAACGGACCTGAAAGGAGCTGAGACGCTCTTAATGAGAGTCATGAGGCCGACAGCCTCAGTCTCAGGTTAGAGCAGCAGGCAGGAAGGTTTTAGAGGCAAATACTCAAATCAATTTGTGCTTTGGATCATTTAAAAGGGGGCAAAATCTCCACAAAACCTACAAGCACTTTACGTTCGCAGGGTCAGCAATTATACATCAGAGTCGCTCCCCCTAAACGACATGCATGGTCTGCTGTCCAAGCTTTTCCCCACAGCCAGGAGCTGGGACGTGGTGACGTAAAGAAAAGCCTTCAGACTCCCTTTTCTTTGGCAGAATCCGACATAACAGAGGTTGGAAGTCCCTGAAATTCAACCCACTTTACCTGCTGCTGCTGTCATAACACAAAGGCACAGCCTACGCACACGCCGGCTTCATTAGCAGGTGCTGGTAAACATGCGCCGACTGCAAACTCGCAGCACAGAGCCCCGCGCACGTTGCCCGTTACTACTCGCAGACATATGTTACAGTTGCATGTCCGACAGCTGCTTTTGAACTCATTCAGTTTTCATGATGGGAGCGACACAGCCTGGAAACACAAAGCCTGTCCCATTTTAGGTCACCTCAAAATTACTATTCCTTTTTTTTTTTTTTTGGGGGGGCTTAAAAAAGGATTATTGGTTATTGGCATGTTCAATTTGGGCTTTTGTTTCACCTCCAGTCCCTGAAGAGTGACAGAAATCCTCACAGGAGTGGGAATCGAGAGCAAAGTCTGGAGGAAAAAAAAAAAAAACTGGCACATTTATGACTCTTGGACAGGGGGTGTTTGTACCCTAAAGACAATGTCATTTCATCTGGAGCATCCCTGCACGCGCTCTGCTCTACGCTACAGCAGGAGAGGAGCATAAGCGATATCACAAAGATGGGTCATCTGTCAGATGGAATACATTAGGGAAATTGTCTTTGAGAAATGACACAGTTAGCTCAGCAGGATGACAGAACCGCTGCCGGCAGTGTCTAATCCAGCGTCTGTGGTCAGCTAAAAGGTGCACCGCTGACCTTGCTGCTCATCTCTTTACCTCTCTGGAGGCGTGAGGATTGGCGACACATCATTTGAACGTGTTAGCAGAAGGAGGGATGCCACAGAACGCCACTTCCACTTGCTGAGGAGGGATAACTCAAAGTAAACCACCATCAGCCGGCAGATATTGGAAGACACAATTTGCGGGGTTTATTGCTTTTAAAAGAACCATCATGAGCATCAGTAGCAGTTTTTTACACACACGAGCATCAAGATAACTATTATTTAGAAAGCTAAGCTACAAGTTCTGCCTTTTTTTCCTTTGCATGCGGAAAACATTTATGGCATTTAAGTTCTAGACAGCACATAAATGAAGGTGTCTGCAAAGGCAACAAGCAAAGAGGAGCTGCTGCCTTATCTTATTAAAATAATTTCAAAACCAATTCTTATGTAATATTTCACTTGACTCTTTATGTCAACACCCAGAGTCTTCATTTAGAGAAGCTAAGAGCGTCTTCTTAACTGCCTTCAGTTTAAAAGCCTCAATTTTAAGCTTCTAAAATATTTCCGTAAAAATCCTCTTTTGTTGCTTATGTTACATCACTGACAACATGATGATCTGCTCATCCACACAAAAGCCCCGCAGTCCCTCTCGGTACACTAGGGAATTAAACATCAGCCTCCACTTACCAGGACCTGAGAACAAAAGGGGTATGTTAATTCCCATTAACACTGTCGCCCTCTCTCCTGAACATGAGTTACAGGGCTATTACTCCACAATGGAGAGCTTCTTCACTCCACCATAAGACAGGATTCCTGGTCAGTCTCAAGCCATTCTGGTTATTTTTGTACGTTTTCCTCACCTCTGCGAGATAGCTAAAGCATGGTCTCTCCTAAATGGAAGTTTTCGAAAGCAGATCAAGTCAGGAAGGTGGAGAACATTCTGAAAAGACTTCAAGTTGTTCATGATGTCACCCGATCAGGTGCACCGAAAATAATTCCGACCAGGTGGGGAGGCGTCAATCAAAGATGATCTGCACACACCTACACAGTCCAGGGAAGAAGTCCAATCAGCCAACTAAGTGGTAACACTACCGTGGGTGTTGGGCGACTTTATCCAATGAAAAGCGCAGTCTGCTACATCAAAGGGAGACGATCCACAGCGAATTGGCTGCGGCTCGGCCCCGTCTTCTGCAGAGAAGTCTTAAGATCTGATCATTCAGGTGCAGTGAAACTCACAGGAACACGGAAATCTGAGCGGCGATTGTTTCTTTAAGTGTGCTGCGTGCAGCCGGAGCAGAAAGAGACCCGACTGGCCCCTTCTCAGTCTCTGCTGACCACGACAGACCATAAAGGAAGAAATCTCTCTGTGTGTTTTTTTTTTAGAAATACAGTTGTTTACATATTAGAACTTTAACCACTTTCTAAATTGCTTCCAGCCCATGTGGACGTTCCAGCTGTTCAAACCCAAAGTGATTCAGTCTAATAACTCAGAAGAGGGCCTGGTCCTGGCTTTAAGGCAGATGGGAGGCTGCCAGCTGGGAAAAAATTCAACGCTTTCTCCAAGGTTCCACAGATTGGATGTTTCTGCCTCTGCGCATTCACAGAGTAACGGAAGCAGTTCTCCAAACTCAAGCTGAGCTCGGCTGGCTACACACGAGTCTCAAGCAATAGTTGAAAGAGAACTTAGTGCCCCCCAGGTTTGGGTCTCTTCACAAAAAACTGACAGGAATGGAGGTCAAGTTGAAGGAAAGAGCAAACTTAAAATAACTGTAGCTCCACTAAATAAAGTGCAAAGGAAGCTGAAAACCTACCAGCAGTACAGCATTCAAACCTTCTAGATGATTCCAGCTAAGTATTTTGACAATTGCGCCAATGAAATTCTGCATCTGTGTGTTTTTTTTGTTGTTGATACAAACCAAACTGTGCCATAAATCAGAAGCGCAAGCTTTTGTCATGGGTTATTTTCAGCAACATGACTTCCTGCTCCTCAAATGTGCCCTAATAATTCCATGAATGTCTCTTTTAGGCAACATTACCATACCATGCCATCAGCTCAGATCCTATGAAACTATGCCCTGTACACGTGATGAGGTGATATTGGCTTGGGTAAGCATTTGCAAGCATGTAAACAAGCATCTTTAAACAGATGACGCCCATGTGTTTTAGTTACTAATGTCTGATCTAACCAAAAACCACATCCAGCTCACGGTTTTGTTTGCAATATAAATATGAAATGCTCGACCCCATCTTCCAGGAAATCCCACGCCCAGAAAACATGCCCCGTCGGCTGGGTTCGATGCAAAAATTCTTGATTAGAATTGTGTAAATCATTCAGAAAATGCAGGATGTAGCCGTGGTTAATTTCAAGCTAAAGTTCAACAAACATCTGATAACCACAAGAGACCCAATGGTGCATTCACCCCTTTCAAACACGACCAACCTTCGCCCTTCCCTTAAAAAATTGAAACTGAGTATCTGTGACAAAGTTCACACAGTTTACCACTGGGTTTGGTACTGATAAAGTTATCTAAGGCATTCACAAAGCACCTCTGTTCGGCTTCACTAGTGCAGATGACGCAACATCCTCCTTCCTGATAGTTAGTCAAAACAGACATTTTGGGTTTGGTCAAATTACAGGTGTGTACACTGAGACCATTGGAAAAACCTTTCAACTTGCAAAAATCTAAATTATTTGGAACCGGAGAATCATCTTAACTGAAAATGTAAAAATTCTCTTTTATAACTCTAAAGTCCAAAGCATTCGAGATATTCAGTGTGGGCCTTGAGATCCGTCTGATAGGGAAGAAAGGCCTCCTGGAAACTGAATCTACAATCAGGAGCTGTTTTCATGAAAACAGATAGGACCAGACTTAAACAAGATAAAACATATGACTGTTTTATCAGGCAGCATGGCGGAATGTATGAGCCAGACAAAATTTGCTGGATTTGAATTCACTTGGATAAATAAAGGGATTATAAATAGGCCAATAAAACAAGCAAAACTGATATATGTTCAGCATAAATTCAAGAAACTAATACTCAGACGTCTCTGCCCAGAAAACATTTTCTTCCTGTTCTGTGCCGATTAGCTCCTCGTGTTCTCTTTTTTCTAAAATATCTGAAAGAAGTTCGGACTGGGCATTTGCCCAAGCTGCCGAATAACAACTTCACACCTGGCATGTTTGCAAGTATAATGCATCATATCTGGGATGATCCGGCAATCTTAATGGCACATTCAAAGTCGATCACGACTTCTGTTCTAATCAGGGCTCATTTTTTGGTCCGATCTTTAAGGAATTTACAATGACTGAAATCCTGATTCCTCAGAACTTCCCGTTTTGTTTCAGTAAACAGAGCTTCAGCTCTGGCTGGTGGTCAGCTCACTTTTTGTTTGAACACACACACAAACCAAAGGCTATGTCTCTTAAAAGGCCAACAAGCTTGTGACTTGGTGGTCAGAGGACGCCAATTCCGCCCCTTTCCGAGTAGAGCGGAGGGAAAAACTGCTACTCTGACATCAGATTCAATTGACTAATTTATACTAATGAAATCAGGTTAAAAATCAAATAAATGAGACGTTGTTAAACATGCTATTTCTGGCTAAGGGCTCCTTTTCACTGGCATTGGAAATGATCACATGTCCGATTATCATACTGGCTAAAAAACTCAATCTCTCTGTTCTTTGTTGGATCTGTTCCACAAGACTGAGCAGCTAATGGTCAGATTAGTTTAAAATATGGCTAATTTAAGATTGAAAAGAGAATTCATGTTTTGATTTTTTGTTTGTTTTTTACATCTGGTAAATTTGTCATCTTGACCAGTCAGCAGGAGTCCAGCAGGTCCATCTGAGCTTGAGTTCATGTAGCTGACATTTTGGAGGCCCCGTAGCCTATCTGAGCCATCAGAGTCCACACCTGCACCAATAGGACAGCACATGTCCAGCTGTGTACAGAGCCAATCAGGTAACAGATCTTCCAGTTGTCTCTGGAGAATAAGTCACTGAAACATATATATTTTTCAAACTAACACCTGTTCCGTTTAGTGACCTCGTGCCAAAAGCTGTAGACGCACCAGGCTGTAAATGACCCTGCGTGTTGCCGTATCGATGAGCGCTGAACTTCAGTCACACACTGCAGACACACAGTCTCCGTTTTCTCTCCTGCGCGCCGAGTTCTGCGGCGCATAACGGTCCGCTCAATGCCAGTTTTCTATAAGCCGAAAGCGTTGAATAATTAATCGGCCGGGCCCCGTTGCTCTGTCCGTGTTCGCCGCTTAGCATTTTGTAAGCGTTTTGCTCCCAGCTTTGTGCAACCAAACACCCGCCGTGGCCGGAGTCCCAACCCCGGCCGGCCGAGAGGAAACCACCAGCACCGCCGTACGCCGCTGTCCGGCATCGTGTGTCCGTGATCAGTTACTACACAGCACAGGATATCGCAGGGTGTAAGCAGATGTACTCGGGCTAACGGGTCAACAGAGGAGGTTCGCATTCTGTTCCTCTTCAGATCACAACACGACTATTTAAAAGACACAGAACACTGAACCAGGAGAGGTTTACACACCCAATAGGTGTCAAGCAGCACCTGTGTGTGTGAGCAGGACATATGAGACGAGCGTGATTAACATGGGTATGTGGAGGTAATAGCTCAATTTTGAATTGGAATATCTTAAAATATTTCAAAATCGAGAGATGGTCATTATTTATATTAAATATATGTCAATATGTCAGTGTGATTGACTGCTGTTTTCTTATAGGTTAAAATTCTTCAAGAGTCTTTAGAGGACAGCGTAAGCATATTTCAATGGCTGGGAAACAAATGCTTTATAGGCTCTTTCTTAGAAAACAAAACCTGAAAAACAAGTCCATGCTTTTCAAGAGTGTGCAGAAACCCAACATCCAGATGTGCAAATGTGATCATGTGACACAAAGGAAAAGAAAGAGGAGATTGTGCTCTGGATTGCAGGAGAATTACACCGTAACAGTATCTTATTTGTTTTTTATTTTCATCATCAGCTAAAAGTGAAGCAATGAGCAGCCATATCACCTATAACCAAAAAAGGAAAACCCCTTTCCTCATTTGTGTATAACCATCTTATTTTCTTTAACCATCTGTTTTCCCCCCCCGCTGGTCACCATTTCTTAGTAAAACAGAACTTAAGCAAACACAGAGCTCAAACCGGTCTCAGAGCCGGGCTGCATGTCAGTAGTCCTTCGCCACCGACTCCAACATGCAAATACTCCTCTGCACGCAGGGGCAGGACCCAAAGCAGCGCGAGTGAACGGCGGAGAGCATCTCACCTGTGTAACCTGCTATCCAGCCCCACGAAGACACCATGGCCAGCAGCCATTTGAACATGACTCCCTCGATGTGCCAGAAAGCGGAGCTGTCCCATACTCTCAGGGGCTGGAGCAGCAGCAGGTAGAGGCAGTAGGACGGGATGGCCACACAGTTGTTGAAGAACATAAACACGAAGCGGAGCACAGACTTGAGGAGAATCCAGCCCAGTTTGCCGGCCCCGTCCAACAGCTGTGCCATCCTGATACACGCCGTCTGCAACAGAAACAGAACCGCCGTCACGTCTCCCCTTATCCAACCCAAAATCTGGGACTGTTACAGTGTTGCAACGCATGGTGTGGAAATGTCAAACCCTGTCAGGCTCTGCATGTTTAATCCTGGACATTGTTGTATTTTTCATCATCTTTACTGGAAGATGATGTAATGTTGACAGCTCATTCTGCATCAGAGGAACGCTCATTTCATATGCGGCGACAAACGATGTTTTTCCATGTCCCAGACCCCACAGTAAACTGAAACCAGTGGGGGTTTCCCATTAGTGCCCACTCAGCCCTGCCTGGCTCCGCCGGCCTCATCACCACTCGGTTTAGAATTTACAAAGTTAATGATCTCGGAAATAATTAAATCTACGATCTTCTTTTGAAGGACTCGCTGCCATGACTCACACAGTCATGTGACTCCCCGGCCAATCAGCGGCCAGCAGTCTACATTTAGACCAACCCAGCCCGCTTGGAGCCCTGGCCGAGTAGGTGCTGAAACTGTTACTACTAGGAGGTGCTAAACCCTAAAGGAAATACACAAAAAAAACAAAAAAAACAAGCAGACTTGGGCCTAAAAGTAACGGTGGAAAATCCCCCCGATCCAGAATGTATGTGCTCAATCTGGCAAACAAACAAACAAATACAAAGAGATGCTTTGTTTCTTATACTGAGCAATTTCCCGAGACCTCAGACGAAGAGATCATAGAACAATGTGGGATTTAACGAAGGATGCCTCTTTGCTTCTAGCCCTAAAGGAAGGAAATAAAAGAAACACTGACGCTCCCTTTCATGGCACTCCACCAGGTCTTATCAAGCCCGCCACTCACATACTTCCGGGTCATTTTATGCCTGAACCTTTTCTAAGCAAAGAAGACAATGCAGGGGAACCCCAGCAGGGCTAATCCAGAGCAGGGGGGAGGTCCCTGCTCAAACCAGCTGGAATGATAAATCAAATAAGAGTTTTGATTTAATTTATTGTCTTTTTTTTCTAGAATTTGTTTGTTTTTTTAAGTATGCAGGTCCTTTTCTCTCACGTCTTACATCTTAAACTAATAATATCCTCGATCTTTGGCAGCTGAAACCTTAAACAGCAGGGCTCAAGGTCACATCTCAGCCTCACATGGCATAAGCCAAATTAAGACTCGTCTTTCTAAATCTCTGAAACACTAAAGATAAAATATTGCACAGAAACACGAAAAAACATCTCAGAACAGAATACACGTTTGTGTTAGGGGACTTTACTTTTTTCACTCATCATCTGTTGACCTTTCAAATCCATCCTTTATTTTTTCTGTATTTCAAATTGGGCATTTAATAACTGGAGCTCCAGCATTAACACGCTGTTTCTCATAAGGATGCTTCCTCACAATCACAGGACACATTTCCAATCATGGAGCAAACCAGCACGTCAAATGGTTTCAGTCTAATCTGCTCCATTAATTAAGTAGTATGATTTGATATTTTTACTATGTTGCATCAGCTATTCGAGTTGATATCCGTTTTCTTGTTTACTTCTGTTTGAATGCAACATAAACACGTGGAACCACCGTGTTTTAAAAAACGGCTATCCCAGTTAATTACACAGTAATTACTGAAGTCGAGTTCACACATTCCGGGCTCAGGTCACAGAATGTGATGTCGAACCGCGAAGTGGTCAGGATAAGGCTACTTCACGGCATTTATATGCAACGCACGCTTAGAGGACGTCGTGCCGCTTAATATTCCAGAGCATTTATATCTGAAGATGGTGTTTTGGTATTTAGGAGTGCCTGCTAGCTGGCTGCCGAGCCGTCAAAGTAACACACGGTAAGACAGGTCCTTAAAAGGACCATTCGCCGGAGACGTAGAGTACTTTATATGCTAGCTAGCAATAGGGTGAGTTAGCATAACGGAAACGAATGGTACGAAACGTGACAGAATTGGCAGCCTTCGGGTTCCCCGCAAACGCAAAACCGAGACACACCAAACAGCGAAGGCAGCTAAAAAAAAAAAAAGATTGAATAGTAACGTATTTTAAGATACACTACGAGGCGCTGGTTCGGGCACTGGATGGCGCAAAGCGGAATATCTGTGCTGCTCATCCAGAGAGTAGTCCCACCCTGTAGTTAGTTGCAAAACTCCGATAGCTCGTGCTACTCACCCAATTAATGTCTCTGAAGCATCCAAGGACGGTCAGAGGTGTTACTAATTGTTTAGGCGAGATAAACTAGATCACGTGTAGCTAACCTAAATGGTCGATTTAGCTTCTTTTCTTTTCTTTTTTTTTAGCTGGTTGGCATGTTAACTCTATCAAATCTGGGCGCTGAGATGCGAGGGTGTGATAATGTTACGGCAAATCATCCGCGAGGAGACGGCCCTTCCATCCATTTAGCTCTCCGACTCTGCTCGGGCACAGAGGATCCCGGTGGGCGCCGTTAGCTCGCTAGCTGGCTAGCAAGCAGCTCCACTTAATCGTCGCTGGCTCCATCTCAGTCGGAGACACCGGGATAAATCCTTCGATGCATCATCACCGTCCACTCAGCTAGCTACTGAGCTCCCGTTAAAGCAAAAAAAAAAAAAACCCACAGGGACGATGATCAGGTGGGGCTGAGCTCAACGCAGCAAGTCCGACCACCGCCACAAGACATACATGTGCGCATCAAAACCGAGGAGCAGCCGATTTTTTCCTCTCTTTTCGAAGCTCCCCAGTACCCGTTATCTTTTTACCAGATCCCGATTCACATCGCGGCAATGTACACAAAGGATCAACGCGACCAAAGTGGAAGAGAGTCTTCCATGCCTTTCAAAATAAAAGTCGACACCTCATTCCTATACGAACGTCTTTTTCAGATCTGTCCAGTTCAGAGACTTTGGGCGATTTTGCTCTAAGGATCTGAATGATGTTGTCGAGACTGAATAATTGCCTTAATGTAAGTAATGTGCCTGGGAAGTATAAGGGAATACCTTTGCCTTTTTTTATTGCACATCAACAGAATCTGGGAGTATAAAGATCTTTTTACTGGAATATTACATATTAGTAACACATCAACTTTATTCATGTCTAGTTAATTTGTTGAAGTGATCATGTTTTATATGTGCATTTATAGAAAATATCTAAAACCTTCTATGTGTGAACTACTATTCAGCAAGTGTTCATAATTGTTTCCTTTGAGGTAAAGTTTATTCATCAAGCGTGGTTACATGATGCTACGTTTAGTGGATGTTTCAGAGAAGCAATCAAACAAAGACACATTTATCTAAGGATTACTTGGAATTGCTTCTTAGTTCCTTACAAAATATAATTAAATATTCTATAAACATGTATAAGTGCAAGTATATTTTCAGATTTAAGATCAATGGTTTGATCAACATGGCTGTAATTATTACAGTTTTTGGAATAACCCGGATATTTCTAAACACTGGTGTTGATTCACATAAGTATTTGATGATAAAATGAGCTATACCAATCCTAACCATATAAATTCTTAATCATTAAATCAAGTATTAACTCACTGTGCTGAACTATTAGTTTGGCCAGTAAGAAGTCCATTTGGATTCAGGTGTGGACAATTCTTTACACACGAGGATACCAGTGGATTGAGAGCTTTTAATCATACCTATCTGTAACAAAATATTTTTATGCTGAGGAAGAATTAATTAATTTCTTTGGCTCCATATGTTACAACCTTACCTTAATTCTGAAGATCCAGAGCGGAACTTCTTTTTTTATTCATTCTGACAAGATGCCTGATGTTCGTTTGAGGCCAGCGTTCAGTCTGCTAGTGCGCAGACTCCCTGCTGTCAAGTGCTGATGGTTTTAGTGTGCATAAAAAGGAAACTGCATGTCACCTCCGAACATATGACTAAATAGTGCGGACTGGGCAGGATTTATTCACGGTTGGGAGTTATTTTCGGATTACATCATCAGTGTAGGTGCAGGACTTTACCTCTAGTATAAATATTTTTAGTCCACTTTAAGTCAGAAATAGCTCTGAGCTCATTAAACACACCTTTTGGGCTCTTTGTGCAAAGTTTAGGAAGGAATTATTCTGATTTACCCCCATGTTCTTAGTTAGTGAAAATAACAAAATATTCCCTGTAAGATTCTCTGTTTTTTTGTTTTTTTTAAATCTCACAGTTCATTTGAAAAGACACCAAAAAGACTAAGGGCTCTTCACACGGATGTTCAGTGATGTTCTGCCCCCTGGTGGTTCTTTGTGTTACTACTTTAACGAGGATAAGATGAGGCCACGGACGACTTGAAAAGCTAAATGTTTACATTATTCTAATTATTCTTGCAACCTAAAAGGATGACACCCCAAAGCATTAAAATGAAATATGTTCTTTTAATCATTGAAAAAAATATATGTACATGTTCATTTTCCGCGAGACAAATCATGTGAAGCGCAGAGGCTCCTGCTGTGAAACACAGAGCGAGCTGCCTAGAAGCGGGAGTATGCGGCCCTCTGTGGAGCCGGCTGAGCTCCACCCTGCTGCAGCTGGTGGCGCAGCTGCTGGGAGTAAGGATCCTCCAGAGACTTGACAGACACCATTGTCTTGGGCCCCGTTTTCCACTCAATGCCGCTCTCATCCACCACAGACGCCTCCACAGTGACCGTGTGGGTGCCCAGGATGGAGAAGTTCAGCAAAAACTGGGTGCTGAAGTAGTCGTTGTGCGGCTCGACGCGCTGCTCGATCTCGTTTGTTTTAGCATCGAGAGGAATCTGGAGATAAAAACAAGCATGCTAAACATGTTGCCGGGCTTTAACTGTTCACGTTAGTTAGTAAATTAGTTAGAGGAGAATTTAAAAACTGAGCATGCTTGAAAAGTTACATGCCTTGAAATCAGGCCCCGCCTTGCTCTGGAGAACAGAGGTGACGTTCAGACAGACGGACTGGATCTTCCTGAAGAGCCCTGGGGTGGATCCATGTTGTACCACCCCTTCCACCTTCAGAGTCAGCTGCTGACTGTTCTGAACTGGGATTGGCTCACTTGGTGTGCGTGGTGATGGAGAAATGGCAAGCTGGGAAAACACAACACACACAACACACATGGTCAAACCTTTATAAGCCTTGTAGGAAAAACATCTAAAAACACTGATCTTTATTAAAGTACACGGTGGCCTTTTTTAAACTTGTTTATAGTTTAGTCTCCTCTTCTTACATTAAAAACATCATTACTTTTTAATAATCAATAATCATTAGATCATAAGACATTAAAATTAAGAGAAAAAAATTACATTAAAAGCATTTACCTTGATGCTGGTTGACTGGAGTTTTTGAAAGAAATATCTCTGGAAGGACAGTGGTACCTTGAGCAAAGCTATGACAGCGTCACAGAGACATCCTGTATGCTGAAAAACACACAAATAACAAACCAAGAGCAGCTTGATGCAACTTGTTTATCATTTTGGTATTTCATTTAATCACAAATTTGATGGGATTCCAGTCTTTCTTCCACGTTGTGCAAACTACAAACAAACAGTGCCAGGTGTTGATCTAAACAAACAAACTACATCTATATTAATTTATTTCTATGCTTTAATGTCCAAGCAGAAGAAAAACCCCTGGGATTCGGCTAACCTGCGGACCACAGTTAGGCTTACCAGGTGTGACACTGGGGGGTGTTTCTTGGTGAGGCCTTCCACTTCCTCCAGCACACGATTAAAAACCGTCATCATCCGTCGCTCGTATTCGCTCTCAGTCTGAACAGAGCCCAGGGTGCCGTACTCCTGGAAACTACACGAGAAAGGCGCAGGCAACGTGAGACAGGTTTCTGGTGGGAAAGCGCCCCCGAGGGGAGCGGGGTCTGAAAAAGCACGGGGGTCTGCGGGTACCCGGCTTCTGAAAGGCCACATCATGCTGCTGTTTCCACAGCAGCTCGGCTCGTCCCCAGACAAACCCAACACCCCGCATGCACACATTAGTGACTACCACCGAGAACCGGTCAAAATACGGAGGTGATTTAGGCTTATCTGACACCACGGCAGCTCTCACCTGGCTGCCTGCGGGTCCAGGATCAGAGCCTCAATCACGTGGGAGACCAGCAAACAGCTCTGCTGTTGTCTGGACGGGCGGTTAAAGAGAATCACATTACAGCAGAGGGCACCGGACGCTGAAAGAGACGAGTGTGACGAGTCTGCTAATGGCTGCTTGAGGATACAACTCCACGTTGCGGAGAGTGGCATAATCGGCATCAAATGACGACTGGTGTAAATCAGCGTAGCGGGCAGCAAGACTTCTGAACTCGTCCATGCAAACCTTCATCTGGAAACAAGAAGGCACGGCATCATTAACTCAAAGCAGGGCTTGTTTGTTCCCTGTGGAACAAAAAATATCAGTATCAGTTTGTACTCACGCCGGTCTGTGAGCTTTAGTTCTCATAACCGTCCAGGTGAAATAGCAGCTCACCTGAATTGAGATGCGGCCGCAGCGCTGCAGGTCGTTGCCGGAGGTGAGGGCGATGGTGGTGGCGATGGCGGGCGGGGGGCTGGTTTTCAGGCTGTTGCAGGTACAGATGAGCTGGGACAGGGCTTGCAGAGTGTCGATCCGCAGCTTGATGAACTCGCACTGGAACGTTAGCGGGCTCAGAGGAGTGCTGGCCGCCTGTAAGGGGAGATTCATCTCATAAATGTGGTACGGAACCTGAGCTGACGGGGAGTCAGCTGGGACGGAGCTGACGACCAGCAGCCCTGAGCGCCGCTGTCACCAGCAGCGGAGGTGCGACGCGCAACGGTTTTTGACAAGCAGATGGCGGGCATGTTAACTGACTGTGAGCGAGGCGATGCCCTTTTGGTAGGAGCGGAGGGCTTCGGCAATGGCGCTCATGGCTCCGCTGTAGTCCTTGTCCTCGATGTGACTCAGGCACTGCTCGGCCTGGGAAAACTCCTTGAGGCTGTTGAGCCAGAAGTAGAAGTGCTCCGAGGCCACGCGGGTGCGCAGGCACTGGTACAGCTCGCTGGAGAACTCGTGACATCCCTGCGGATGGGCGAGACGAGACTTTATCGTCCCGCTCCGAGGCTCCTTGTGAAAGCTTTTCAGTCGGAATGTCAGACATTCCCACTCACCATGCGCGACGCCTGCCGCGCGATGCGATACACCGTCCAGCCGTTGGCGACTTTCTCCAGCTGCTGTTTGATGACCGTCTTCACTTCGCCTGACAGGGAGGACTGGCTGGCCACAAAAATCACCGTTGCCAGGGAAACCTGTAGCAGGGACAATCGAGGGCTCTGAGCAGGAATCTCAGGAAAATCGCGAGCACGAAAAAAAACAAAAACAAAAGCACTTGCTGTGACCTCTGGCGGACACGTGACCCCCGTAACGTCTCTCACCAGAAGCTCTTGCTGCTCGCCAGCTGAGGAGTGGCTGGCCACTCGGAAGAGATCCACCAGATCTCCCAGCATGCCGTCTCCCAGCACGGGCAGGTGGGCGGCGATGGCCGCCAGCGCGTGGCACAGGAGGATGCGGGAGGAGTCGCAGGATAAGTGGAGCTGTCCCAGCAGGAATTCCACAGCTGATTGGCTGAGGTGGGGTCGACTTTTCAGCAGCTTAACCAGGGAGGTCAGGGCGGTCTAGGATTATAACAAAAGAAGAATAAGACACGGCATGATCCTTTTTATTTCATGTTTCTAGTTTCTTCAAACAGCAGGGCTGACTGGGCTGAAGTGATGTCTGCATGACACTGCTGCAGAGCCTGCATTTAAAAGCCTTCAACCATTTATCAAACCCTTAAAAATACATTTTCTCTTCTTTAAAATATAAAAAATGTATTCAAATGAATGCTTTAAATGTCACAAATTGAAGTATAAATTTGCTTGGGTGAGTGTGTTGAGACCAGATTCACATTGTGTCACGCTCCCAATGCTTCTGCATTTAGGAGCTATTAGTTACATAATAATGCGATACTACTGAGCTTGCATACTAAGCCCTGTCATTGTGGGGCTGATGCCCCCTGCTGTGTGGTTACGATGCTGTCTTACTTTCAGGGTGGCCTGCGCTGTGAGGCTGCCATCCTGACTGCAAAGCATCAGAAGGGACTCCACTCCCAAAACTGTGTCCTGCTCCAGCTGTATTATATCTGAGACACATAATTTACACAGCAGACTTAAAAACAATTAAACCCGTGAAGTTGAGCGAGAGTAAGGCCGTTTAACTGGGGGATGTTATCAGAGGAATCCCTCAAACGGCCACGGACGCCCACCTTTTTCTGAACAGGAAATGGCAATATTGGAGAGAATCACGACCCCGTGTGCTGCCACTGCCAGGTTGCTGTGGTAACAGCACTCCTGCGCCAATTTCACCAGGTCAGTGAGGCGGGGAGGAACTGAAGCACCACCTGAGAGGAGATTTTCACAGACCATATTCAGAGTTTCCTTCTTTTTCACAACACGAATAACATATGAAATCTTAAAGCAACAACACAACTCAAAACAATAGAAAGACAGGATGCAAGCCCTACCTGCTGTCATACTGAAATACTGTTTCACTGCTATTGCTCCAGAGAGGGTGGAGAGGACAGCCAACATCCCCAGCTTCAAACTGATGTAAGGGATGGTCAAAGCGCACTCACACAGAGTCTGCAAAGGTAAACGTTGTTGAATTTTCATGCCAGTTTTAAGATGCATCAATACAACACTGCAAAATATGAGTAGGCCTCTCTACCTGAGTGTTTTCTTTCATCCACAGGTGAGGGGCCTTTTTAGCCAGAAGTTTTAAATCATTAATGGCAAGCCTTTTCACAGATTTTCTTGGATCATCTCTGAGGTACTGAAGGAGGAGCTGCAACTGGACAGACAAAGTTCAAATAAAGAGTTAGTAAATCTTTTTTTTTAAGTTAAGGGCTGCATTTCTAAGTATTTTCCTGAAACTGAAGCTCTCAGATACTGCTCTGATTGCGACTGGGGGCTACCTGCTTGGGGATGTCAATGAGGGAGGATGCGGCGAGCTGGGTGAAGGTGTGCAGTGAGACGATGACCATTGGGGTGGATGGGTAAGAGTTGACCAGGTGCTGCAGAAGCTCCCTGCTGCTGGACGCCAAGCTGGCATCGTGGTGCATGTGCTGCAGCATTGGGATCAGCTTCAGCTTCAGATCCACCGGAGTGTCTAAACCTGGTGTGGAAGCAGAGGTCAAAGAGGAATGAAGATTATGAAAAATACCAAAACCCCACATGGACAGCGCCCTGAAGTCTTAATAAGCATTCTACCTTGAATCATCTCGCTCACTTTGTTACAAATTCCAGCAGCAAAGTCCCTGGAAATAAAAAGAACAAAACAAAACGGTCTTTAAACACTGAAATTCTTCAGTATTCATATGGAACGACTTAGTTTCACCAAGAATGTGTTTTACTTGGACTGTGCAGAGAAGCTTGCAGATGCAAAGATAGCAGCCTCCACTTCCACATTGTCATGGGAGTCCAGGCTTTGTCGAATGCTGTGGTGGGCGTTCTTCCTCTCAGGGATGATAGAAGCCAGACTACCGAGCATCCTAAACAGGGGGAGCAGAAAGAGAAGGGTTTCCTCCTAAATGGTATGTGACTCAAAAGCACTGTAGGTTTTTGAAAATGCATCAATGATGAGGTCTAAAGTTGTAAAACATATCAAGGGTTTACCTCAGGGTGATGGCTCTGGCAATGGGGTCGTTGCTATGGATGACCGAAAACACCCTTTTGACAAACTCATCCACGTTGAGAATCTTTTCCAAATGTTTTTCACTCTGTTGTGTTACTTTCAGCACACACAGACGCAGGAAATTGTTGCTGAAATGAGAGGTGGATTGTGGAACAGTTATGGACAATACTGACCCGCTAAATGGGACACGCTAACGAACAACTGGCTGTTTCACAAAGAGTACTCTGAAACACTGGATATGCTACTGTAGATCTGGTCAAATCTTGTAAATCGAAGTGGTTTCCGTAACATGTCTCCAGTAGTATCTGAGGCTAAATTCTGCTCAGCTGGTTCTTAACATCTGTAAGGTCCTTTGAACATTGATGTTAGATTCAGCGATGATATTTGTACTGTCCAACAATCTGCTTTTGATCACAGTGCTGAAATATTCTGTAGTATAGAAGTTTTGCTAATTAATGGTGCTGCTGATTCCACTGTGCTGTAGAGAATAGTTTCTGTCACGATTAGTTGTCACTTTCCACATGTTTTATTATATTGCTGTAGCTTTTAAATCGTGCATTTTTTGCAATTAAACTATTGTTACTTTCAAATAAATAATTTATGATGATGACCATACCCAAGTCTGAAGATGTCTGCTAGTTTGAGAAAGGCTGAGTTAATGAGGATGGGAAAGGGGTACTTCTGGAAGAGCTTGGGGAACAGCACCACAGCCTCACACTGCTCTCCGAGCTTCCCCGATCGCAGCCCTGAAATCATACACATCGCTCTTGTCACAACAAAGCCCGTAGCTTTCACGGGATCAGTCAAATCCACAATCAATGAGAAAAATGCTAACTCGTTAGCAAGCTAGCTAACACACCTTTATCCAACTCCATGAGAGCGGAGTTAGCGTCGAGCTCCTGTTCCCCATAGCAAGCCTCTGACAAAAATGAACGCGCTGTTGAAAGCGACATTGTTGTTTGGTAGTTGTGTTTAATGTGTTGCAGCACACAATGGCCCTCAGTTTGTCATTGTTCAAGTGGTTTTCAATATTCAAAATGAGCTATTTCACAGCCTGATGCTACATCCGGTCTGAAATTACTTTTCATAATAAAAGCTATTTGGTACCTCACGATGAGTGAGGTGATGTCCAAAAGACTAGTTATTAACTATTAATAAATGTTTCATCCAGTTACATGTACATTAAAGAAATAAAAGGCTAGTGTGTTCTTTATAGTGACGGGGCAAAGAGCATAATCTAAATTTCTGGAGCCAATTCCTCGGTAGTTAAACTTCTTTATAACAAAGTTTTGGCAGATATGTTAGAAGGGTCTCATTGGAGGATACTTTATATAAAAAATCAACAACAGAGGTATATAATACAAGTAGGGGACATAATGTAATCATTATATTCATTTGCAGGTTTGGTTTACCTGATTTTTAGGTAGGTTACTGGAGTGGACAGGACTCCTTGTTTTATTACGATGTCATTCTGTGTTTTTGTTGCCTTTTAAGAGGCTGTTTAATTATTACGCTCCTGGGCATTTGTTGCACTAAACAGGATACATTTTCTGTTTCCAGTAGCTGGATGGGTGTATCCAAATCATTCCAAAAATCCACACGTTTTGTTGAAAAAGTAGTTAACCTCACGATTATTTTGTCCACTTTTGGGCAGCACAGCCTGCATAAAGCGCTTAGTGAAGGCGGAAGCGGAAGCTAGCCCGGGCAGGAAGCCAGCGGTTTGGACCAATGGCAGCACGAGACGCAGGTTTAGCGGGGGATTCGGTTCGTCTGATCGGACGATCTGTTCGCGGGAAATACACCAAACGGCAACAACGGGAGCAAAAAAAGGAGGACCATCGGCCAACGATCTGACAAACTTCACGGTTTTATCAGCAGTTCTTTCAGATCGCCGTCGGTTGTGGTGTAAAAATGCTTTTCCGCTCGGTTGTTGACAGAGGAGTGGGCAGACGCAGGAGGAACGGTGAGAAGCGATGCGTTTGGGGGGCTTTACTGTTTCAGAGGGGCGCTTTCAGATGTGATTATGCTGTCGTCGACAGCTGCTGGTGGATCTTGGCGAGAACTCGGTGGAAGGGAACGCAATCAGGCATTTGATTATCAGTCATCACTTTAAAGTTGCTATAGTGCAAATTCCAGTGTTGCTCTGTTTCTGCTTCTTTGACCCCAAAATCCAACAGGCTAACGCGTTAGCCTGCGTCTTTACGCAACGCCAACGTTTTCCTTTATGTTTCCTAACTAATGCTCACACTATGGTACGAAATAAAACGCTACTGAATACAATAGTCAAAAAGTCAAATTGTACATGCATGATCTGTACTTTGAAACTGCTTAAAAGCATGAAGCCACAGAGGCTCAGTGTGTTATTTTGTATCTGGTGTAGGCCATTTTGACTTCCTTGCACGTCTCTGTGTGATATTGATCGATGAGAGAAAAGTCTTCAACTTTACCTCTTGAACATTGTCCGCTGTCACAAATACAGTGGATATGTGAACAGGGGTCCTGGGGTCCATTCCGAGTCTTTATTATTCTTTATTATACCTTTCTGGATGCACATCTTCACTGGATCTGATATCAGTTGTCCTGACTTGGTTCATATCATATATTACATTTAATTTCTACCGTGTGTTACCTCAAATACAAACTCTGTATGTGATTATAATTTTCTTGTGTACATAAGAATTTAGTAAGAGGTCTTTTCCACATAGAGAACAGATTTTATATAGAAGTATACTACCTTTTAATCCTTACTGATTTAAACTTTGTGTAATAAAACAATGAGATCTTACAGCTTCCCAATAGAGTTAGTTTAATGAATTACACAGAATTAATCACAGCACCACATGCACTGGATTTCCGTGTGAAAAAGAAATTCAAACTAATGCTATCCTAATTAAGAAGTGACCTTCTTTTCCTCTTCACAGCGTTCCCGGCAGATTCTCAATCCAGGATACCTCTGGGCTCCTTACTGCAAGGATACCAGTGCCTCCGACGGGATGAGCACATCTCCTACGGCAACATGGGCGACTCTGTGCCACCGTTTGGATTAGCTTTCTCCTCTGGTAATCCACGTGCATTTGTCGACATGTCTGGGAAGCACGCGGCCACGTATTAGATAGTGTGACTAACGGCAGGGGACTCTCCTAATTGCAGCTGCAGACATGCAGAACATCCTGGCGGCAGCGAATGAAGAGGGCATCGTTCGGATCTACAACACCGAGAGCCGTGAAAGCCCTCTTCTTAAAGGTATTTACAGAGTCTATTTTTTTTTTTGCATTTTCAATATGTAAAAAGCATTATTGAACGATAGGATTTAAACGTTTCAGAGTGGCTGGCCCATGAAAATGCAGTATTCGACATTGCTTGGGTACCAGGGGAGCCTCAGCTGGTGAGTGCAAATTTATTCCACTCTTGTTCTTAAGAGCTGCATGGGAAAGTTCTTGTTGGCTGTTTGTTTCCTTACAGCAGCTTTTTTTTTTTTGTGCCTCCATCAGGTGACAGCTGCAGGTGACCAGACGGCCCGGCTGTGGGACGTTAAGTCAGGGGAGCTGTTGGGCAGCTTTAAAGGCCACCTCTGCAGCCTCAAGTCGGTTGCATTCACACCAGAAGAGAAAGGTATACTTATCAAAAACTATCTTTTAAGTCTGCCTGCAATGCATAAAGAAAATGTATGCCACTGAGGTGCTGATACAGGGATTTTTACAATGAGTTACATAAAAAAAAATAGATGCTCACACCTGCAACAGTGTTAAAACAGCCCTCTATTTGTATACCTCCATGTTGTCCTCTTCAAAAATATATTGAAATTTAAATGTCCTTAAAATTTTTAAGCTGCTTCTTTTTTCAAATGATGTTTATTCTTGTCACATGAACAGCTGTGTTCTGCACCGGAGCCAGGGATGGTAATATAATGGTCTGGGACATCAGGTGCAGCAAAAGAGGTATGGATCTGAGATTTCAGCACGTTGCCTGACACCCATCAAACAGTCAGGCTCTGTCTTTACACTGCCGCCGTCCTTTCAGACGGTTTTTACAGGCAAGTGAAGCAGATCAACGGCGCTCACAATAAAACGGAGACAAACCCCCTCTCCAAAACAAAGAGGAGGCGGAGCAGCATGCGGGGCATGGCTCCCAGCGTGGTAAATATCAACAGAAAAAAAACACTTTTTAAAGAACTTGTCTGAGATGGGAATGCTCACATTTGTTCAATCTTGTTTTTTTCCCTCAGGATTCCCAGCAGAGTGTCACAGTGGTTTTGTTTCAGGACCAGCACACACTCATCTCCTCGGGGGCCGTTGATGGGTAAGGCAGGCTCTGCTCGCAGCATTCAGCTCATCTGTTGACGACGCCCGTAAAAACCCCCGCGAGACAGGGATGGTCATTTTGTTTGTTTTCCCTTCGCCCCCTATCAGAGTGGTCAAGATGTGGGATCTGAGGAAGAACTACACTGCGTACCATCATGACCCCGTGCCGCTGCAGACCTACCCGTATGCAGGATCCTGCACGCGCATGCGACTGGGTTGGTTACACACTGCACAGGCCAGGCAGATTCATTACCCTGACGTAAGCGAACGGCCACGGTTAAGCCCAGATCCATTCCCTGTGTGCTGCAGGTTACTCTGGACTCACTCTGGACTCCAGTAGGTCCAACGTCATGTGTAACTGCACCGACGACAACATCTACATGTTCAACGTCTGCGGAATAAAAACGGCTCCAGGTGAGTGAAAACACACTGTCTAATTGTGCCACAGCGGGCGTTTTCCAGCTCTCACCACTTTTGTCTCACTAGATGGGGCTAAAGTTATTTGCCTAATCTATCAAAGCACTCGGAGCATAAGGCAACAGTTTCTTCTTGGTACAAATGGATGGTCAAGTTGAATTTGTGCTGGTTAAAGCATATTTCAATATGTAGGTCTATATTTATTAAACTCTATGATCTGAAGCCTTTAACTGCCTGTAACCCGCATGGTTAATGATGAAAGCACATCAGGAAGGAAGCCATTTTGAAATGCACCACCACATATTACAGAAAAGACAGAAAGATCCCTGAACGAGTTACTGAAATTACTATTTTATGACATGTTTTGGCCTTTTTGTTCTCCAGTTTGAAACTCTATTCAGTTATCTTAATCGTAGTATGTGTTTTCACCCACAGTGGCCGTTTTCAGTGGCCACCAGAACTCCTCATTTTATGTCAAGTCCACCATCAGCCCTGATGACCAGTTCCTGGCCAGTGGCTCCAGCGACAACAACACCTACATCTGGAAGGTGGGATCCCTCTTATATGTCCATGCTTTTTCCCTTATCATGGTGAGAAATGCAGTGTTTCATTAACAATCTATACATTTCAGATATCCGATCCTCAACATCCTCCCATGACACTTCAGGGTCACAGCGAGGAGGTGACATCCGTCGTCTGGTGTCCCACCGATTTCACGAAGGTCAGCGTGATCTCCACGATTTTATTTGACTTTTTAAAAAAAGATTCTTTCCTGGTGTAAAACCTCGATAAGGAGATTTGTATTCTCCCCGCAGACCGGCTGAGCTGTTGTAATGACCCTCCGTTTAACCCCCCCCTCCTCTGTTGGCAGATCGCTTCCTGCTCTGATGATCACACTGTGCGCATCTGGCGGCTTCACCGGGAAGCGGATGGAGCACACTCATCTGTGGGAGACGCTAACCTAGTAGGCTGGGCACGTCCCATGTCGCCCCCAAGTAAGTATCCCTCCTCCCATGGTTCTTATTATCTCCTGCTCACCAGGAGCAGCTACCATTTTAACACGGGTGTTTGTAGTATTCTTTGCCATTGTAGCCTGTCCCCTAATTCAGAGAAATATCAAATTGCGTGATCATAAATCACTGTTTTCGTGCCTTTAGGTGCAGAGCGTGTCTTGCTGCTTCCCTAATCTGAACTAATGTGAACTTCTGCTTTTGTTTAGGGCCCTCAGTCAGAGCTGAGACAACCCCTGCCAAGACCCAGAGGACTGAGAGTCTGGGTGGCCTCGCCTCGCCCCAGCTGGCCGCCTGTGCCCCCAGTGGAGCGGCCTTGCCCCTCCCCTCCAGCACCACGTCACCTGTCCACTCTAAAGTTGCCGCTGTCCGTCAGAGGACGCCGTCCTCCATCAAACAGTGGCTATCCCCGACCCACGCGTCCCCCGGTCAGGTCACCCCCCCGACCCGCAGAGTGCTGAGCCCCCGTCCTCAGAGCCCGGCGAGCGGCGTCTCTCCCACAGAACGACGGGCCAAACGGAGGCTGGAAACCGGCGAGGGTCCCCCCGCAGGCTGCGAGGGCGCCGAGCAGTGCGGCTGTGTTACCGAACTCCATCCCGCGGCCAAGAGGAGCCGTCCCCTACCGGGGGCCTGCTGCCACTCCGAGGAGAGCCCGGCACAGACGGACTGTCGTGCCGATGACGGAAAACAGTCCCCATCAAAACAGATGGGAAAGGAGAATTTCTCTCCCAGATCAAGGAACTGGTTGTCAGAGATGAGCCAAAAGATGAGGAAAGGTCAAGGAAATTGTAGCACCCCCAGGAGTCCCAGTGCCTGTAAGAGACAAGAAAACAAGGCAGCTGCCTCACTTGTAAGTGCTCAACTCTCGGTTTTGATAAAGTGCAGCTCCCAAAATGAACCTCTACGATGTAAAATCATACCAAATATTATTCCAACACAAGTCAACTTTTAGGAATGGTTCCTTTGTTATGATTTCTTTTATCATTATCATGGTCTTTACATTATGCTTAATGCGTCTTGTTTTTCTTTCCTCAGACTACCCGCTCACCTCAGGCCATGAAGAAAATCTCCACGTATTTTGCTCAAGCACCTCTGGAGTGAAAGACTCTTTAAACATTGGGCTGCACAGAGAATGACGCTTTGCTTTTGACCTTAAGACAATTGTTATTATTTTATTTTAATTGAATTCCTGGAAAGTTTCCTCCTACAAGTTTATGCTTAAATATAAAGTTTTTGCTGGGTGAATCTGCCATTTTTCCTAAAATGATCCACTTGGTATATGTTTAAGCTTTCACGTAAGAACTAACAGCTCCCAGTTAACAGACTGCATAGGACAGTTGCCTGGCTAAATTAAAATTTCCATTTCTTTACATCACATATTTAAGCTCTCAAATGAATTTTTGCATTGCATAACATTAAAAAATGATCTCTTCAAAGGTCAGCTCTACCAATTTGCAAGCAAATGATTAATTTCTTGATGGAGTTTTTTTCACTGGCATTTTCATGTATGGAGTTTGCCTTTTTTGTAAGTGTTACACATAAAATATGTTTATAAAACTTTTTTTTTTCTCTTGGGCAGATGCTTGAGATGTTTGTATGTACAAAATAACGCAAAGAATGTTACTTGCTTGATTTGTATTTAACTGACACATTTGTAGTCAAATTTTTATTACATTTAAAATGGTCTTTAGTGTGTCTGGTTGTGTTTTTGTCGTGGCTGAAGCTCGGGAGGAAGACGCCTCACGGATCATGGATGGTTTGTGGTTTGACCAGGTGCCAAAGTGTCCCTTAGCAAGACCCTGAACCCCAAAAACTAACCTGACCATAGCAATGTAGATGTAAACTGATGAATCCACATCCATGTTTCAGGTGCTTTTTTTTTCAACTGAAAAGGTAGACGCAGCACTTTGCAGATATAATGGAACTTAAGCTGAATTTAAGAGACATCCACTGATGTATGTTAAAATTCTTCAGATATTAAAGGCTTTTGTTTTGTATGATTACTACAGATGCCTGGTAGCCTTCATTCAACAAAACAACGTCACCTATTTGTTTTTACATGTCACATGTTCATAGCCCGTTTTCTGCGACGTTTGATTGGTTTAAAAAGTTTCGAGTTTATAATTCAGCGTTCGTGGTTGGTTGGCAGCTACGTCAATCAATGACGTGGGGGTGCTAGCGCCTCACGGTCCAGCACGCACACAGTGAGAAGGAAAGCCTTGGAGTGTTTATGGCTGACCGCTGGGCTCGACTCGTAGTTATATCTCGGTCTTTTTAGAGGCCAAGAAAACGAAACGGTCCTACTGTAGTCAGGGAGGTTATTAGTAAAGAAAATGATCATCTTTCTGTAGACACGGCTAACTTTGAAACGCTAGTTGAGTCCGCCGAGCACAATTTAACTTCGATCGTGGATAGTACTTGTGAAAAGACGTTCAACGGAAGTGTAACCAGGATTAAAACCGGGGCTTGAAGTCGTGGTGGTGGTTTTATCGAGGAGCTACGCGAATTGCACCGAGTCGACCATCGTTGGTAACTTGTTTCCTCGACAGCTGTGCAAATTGTAGCGGAAGACGCTAACGTCGGCTACATTGAGCAGGCTAGCTAAGTGCGTTGGCTGTCAGAGCAGAAGCGCCGTTTTGCCACAGTTGGGTCTAATCCAGTCAACTTTTTTTTCTTGACAATGTGTTCCCAGCTTTTGGCAACAGGTAGGGGCGTTTGCAAAAACGACGAATCAGCTAAATTAGCCTGCCATTGAGAAACTTGGGGATATTTATCTGCTGCACATAACTCCGGCGGTATTGCGGGCGGTGTCGTGAGTCTTAGTTTTGGCTTGTTGGTTCATGTTTTGAAGATTGTTCCGCATCTCAGGCAACTAGATACCCCCAAGGATGCAGTTTATGGACATTATCTAAGCACGGTACCTACCCATCGACCATGCTGGATCATACAGACTAACAAAAGCCTTTGCAAAAGGAGACGAGCGTTCGCTCGTATTATTCGCAGCCGAATTTGAAGCCGATGTGAAGAGACGAGGAGACCCCATCATCCGTTATTTTTCAGTCCCAGATCTTCGTCAGTTTTCTCTGCATCAAAATGTCGGCCATCTCCGCATCCGAGAAAGTGGACGGGATTACGGCCATCTCGGCGTCGGAGAAAGTGGACGGCTTTACGAGGAAGTCGGTGAGGAAGGCGCAGAAGCAGAGGAAATCCCAGGGCTCCTCGCAGTACCGCACGCAGAGCGCCCCGGTGGAGCTCTCCCCGCTGCCGCAGCTCAAAGGTACGGCAAGAGGACCGGGGCTCTCCCGGCCGGTGCTGGTGGTCACGTCTCGAAGGGGGGAAAAGCTGCTTGTGCAAACATTTTTGGTGCTAAGCTGAACACTCGGGCCTTTTACCCCCTCAGAGCCTCCACATCCAGACGTGTACCCCCCCCCCCCACACCCCCCTTGGTTAAGCTTTCTCTCGTCAGTGGGAGCAGATTTAAATTGAACCACAAGGCATTAAAAATACATAGCTCTTTGCCAAAGTGTATTACATCAGTTTTTCAAGCTGAGAGAGTTTAGCCAGTCCGCTCCTCGGTTTGTGTTTGTTCTGTGCTTCCATCTGAGTTTAGGAGGTGTCTCATAAAGACAGATAACATCTCCAGTGGGGGCAGTGAGAGCTAACTGACACTGACAAAGCATTAACGCTTTGAGGATGGATGCACCATCCAAACAACAAGCCAAGTGGCTGGCCGGAACGTGCTGCTTGTGTTGTCTGCTGCGTGCTGATGCTGGTCGGGGCGGTTGACTGTAAACAGAACTTTTAAGTAAGTTGAAGAACAACCTGGTGCTCCTTATATAAGCTTTTCAGGTTCATAGATGGCATTGTTTAAAGGTTATCCCAGATGTTTCACAGGCCAGAATGTGCTGGCGTAAAGCAGCCGCGCATGCATGCATCGTGAGAATCATTAAAGCCTGCCTCTAAAATGCTCTCCAACGTGCCACATTAGTCAAAGAGCACGGGGACAGTGAAAACAGCCCGTCCCGAAAAGCGTGTGTGAGGGCCCTCGCAAGTCAGTGGCAACTAGAAAGCAACACCCAAGGCCTCTGTGTTGGAGAATTCATGATCATCCAGTGAAATGTGACACTGGGTGGCCAGTAGTCTGTTTTCAGTTGATGAACTATATGCTGGAGGTAGAGACGGCATGTGAGGCAGAGGCCTGCTCCACTTTGGTGTGCTCTGTCTTATTTTTTTGGGAGGAGAGATGAGTGACAAATGATCTATTTGTTTATTTTTGCTACAAAGTTTTTCCTTAACCCTAAACAATGCCCGTGTTTTCCGATTTGATAGTTCAGGTAAACCTCCTCAGACTGTTTTCTTTTCCCCTGAGTTGTTTCTCCCATGTGGTTACATATTTCGAACCTGTTTGATTAGCTCCAAGCGCTTTCGCCTCAGACGTATCATAAGTTACAGCTCACACTCCTTTGCACATTGGAGACGTCTGTCAAACTAGTGTAGTAATGTGAGGAATCTCAGCACAGACCCGATGAGATATCGGTCAGCCGGCTTTCCTTTAGCCGGCGGTCAAAACTAATCCTGCTGAGCCTGCTAATAACTGTGTGTATTCAAGTCTCAAACATGGTGCTTTGTTCAAATAGTTTTACTTGAGAGCAGAATACAGGGTTGATTTCAAGTAAATTTCATTCAGGGGAAAGATAATTATGCATGGAATGTCAAACTGGACTGTAATTGACTATCTCTCCAACTGTAAACTCCTACAAGCTGCAACAGTGAGAACTGTTTTGGTGCTATGAAGAGAAGCGAACCTCAACCGAGAAGGGCTTGCCTGGTCAAGTAGTTGGAGCTTGTCAACATGACGCAACTTCCCAAATGTTGAAATGAAAAAGCGTCCCAATCGGGAGAAGCATCAGCAGCCGGTGCCTTCACGCAGGGGCAAAGGACTCGGCTAAATCCATCCTTCTAATGGCGTGTTCAGTTTTGCTTTTTGCACGGAGAGAGCAGATTATAAAGAGGAGCACAGATATTCAGCGAGAATTTGAAACGCTCTATATTTTCCCAGGCCGGAGGGCTGTGCCACAACGAGGCCCAACACCGACATGAAACAGCACGGCAGCCACCACTGTGACAGGGATGGAAGTGACAGACAAATTATCCCACTGTCTTCCACTGAAAGCATGGGGGGGCGGGGGGGCAGGGGTGTATTTCTTTCCGCATCCGGAGAGGTGGAGACATCTATATTTGGTCATTTTTAAAAATCCGTTTGTGTAGGGAATTGGCCTGTAGTCTTGGTCATGCACAGATATTAGACATGATCTCTAAAACTTTAATCGTTATAAGTGTCATCTTCAAAGTTTGCTCCACCAGAGGAGATAGAGACGTTTACTCCATCAGAAAGGTTGCTGTTTCTATTCCCAACTCCACCCATCTATATGTCAAAGTATCCTCTGCCCCCCCACAAGATGTTCTCAGCATGTGGCCAGGCAGCTTTCCACCACTTCTGCTTTTCAGCTTGTTAATATTCATTCACTGATTGACCATCTGCGAGCTCGTAACACATTGTTGTATAAGTTATGATTCATGTCTGTTACAAGTAGGCTGTCCGTGCCTAATTTAGCTGTAATAAGTCCACAACAATGTGTACTATCTCCAAGTGGCCCAGCATGTACCAGCTGAAGATACATGGAACCAAAATAATGACGTACAGTGAAGTTCAAACATGCAGCAGTAGCCCATCAGCAGAAGTTTAACACAATGTTAATCATAAATGGATGGTGCGCTGTTTTTTTTTCCAGTTAAAACACGTTATTTTTGTATTCGTCTGCTCCAATCCAGCTCCCTAAATTACCGAGATGAAGAATGCACATTTTTGCAGGCTTCTCTTTGAGGTGCTGAAAGATAGTAGCCGACAAAGATGCTTTTCCCTCCTGTAATGGAGAGGCTGAAGTCCTTATAGCTCCTGTTGTGCGATAGACACTGAAAAGATGAGTCATTCAGAGACCAACATTGTTGCCATAGCAGCCAGAAGTCTTGAGAGCAAGCCAGGGAAATGTTTGACTTTCCAAATACAGAACGCTTCATTTAGGATGATATCTGTCACCAGGGTAATGTGTCGAGGTGTGCCACCATCCCTAACCCCCAAGTCTTCGTTTCAGAGCAGGCCTGCTGTCAGAAAAGTCACTGTGCATTTGAATGAAAAGGATGAGTTATTTATTTTCTTGCATTTTTTTAGAAATTCTCCCAAGTTGTGGATCTTGCTGTTATACCCTTTGTTTTAGAATCTCTGCTGATTGAGCTATCAGACTGGGATATGTCTACCAGTTTCATTGCTCTGGGGGTACTTTAGGGTCTGGTGGTTTAAAAAAAAAAAAACTCGGGACGGCTCTCAGAAGAACACAGAGCCCAGTCAGGTCTCTCTCTACTTGTATTTAACTAGCTCTAACTTACTTACCATTGTGGGAGCTAATCACTTAATCGCCATCCTTGCTATAACCAGATTAGCTACCGCTGTGTTGTTGTTTCCACCTTCAGACACTGATCCCAATATTTGACCGCAACCTTTTGCCATCGCCAGAGCTGCAAGGCACCTAAATTAAGCGTGGGGATAATAGGGGGATACATTTTTTATCCTAATCGGCCACTGACCACCTGATGCAACAAAGTCTTGTGCCGTTTAAGCTTGTAATGTTCTGTGCTGTAGTCTCTCTTGATTGAATTTTCTCCAGCCTACAACGATTTCCTGTAGAGATGTCGGTCTTTTGCCATGAACCAGCCGGACCCACCCAGTGTTTTATTCTCTCCACTTCGTGCTGCAGCGATTCCATGAGGAAGAGCAGAAAATATTTCAATATTTTGCCAAGGCGTGTTGTAGACACTCAATCAGTACAGTAGCATTTGGAATGTGAGGTCCTGAAAAACGTGTGCCCTCCTATTGGCCTATTGATCTCTGTAAGTGTGTCCCAGACACGCTGTTCCCATCACAGATAGTAATCAGTATTTTTCCAGGAAACACGGGGACAGATCTCTGTGCTCGTCTGAGTCCTGCGTTCTTGCGTTTGTTGCTGTGGGTGTCATATTTTTCACCTCTGGCAAGTTAAAATTGACTTTTTTTTGGAAATGAAATCTGTGTGCAGGTTGAAGTGATTGAGTTCAAACCAATGTGAAGCAGTTCCATCAGGACCGGTTGTACGGAGCAGAGCTGTGCGCTGATAACGTGTAGGAACAATGGAGAGATGCTCAGATGCTCTCTGTATAATTTCTCCAGGAACGGTCGCAGTTGGGATTAAGACGTTGCATTTATTAAGATGTGAACTTTGTTGTAAACGCAATATAAAAGTGGACTTTATCTCTGTTATCGAAGCTAGTGGCATAGTCATGGTTGTTCCTCGTAATTTGAGTATTTTGTGTTGTAATCTTTTCTTTTCATCGTACACATTTGTGTCTTAACACAAAGAGAAACGCAATCTCTGTGATCACTTGGAAAGAATTGTGCTGACGTTGCTTAATGTGTGATCTGGATTTTTGTTTTTCTACTTGAGTCAGTTTTCTGGTTTGATTGTTTATGGCTGCCAAATGGTTTTAAAAAGTGGGGTGACTAAATATCCAGTTGAGTAAATGTCTTATAACAAAAATATAAATAATTTTTTTAGTATGCATCAGTTTTGTTTTTTTGTTTTGTTTCTTTATCAAAGAAGAATCAATTCAAGTAGTTTCACACCCAGGTTGGCATATATTTAAAGATGTTACTCATCGATTAAAATGTTTCTAGAGCACTTTTCTTTCATGGTGTTGATGGACCGGTCATTGCACATCTGGTTTAACTGTTGCGTTCAGTTCAATGTCAGCAAGACACGGCAGACGCTGAACCATGAAAACTCTGTAGCTCTGCCAGCCATTTACAGCAGAACTTGGTTCATTGGGTAAGCGACCTGTCTTTTTCATGTCGTTGTATCCTTTACTAGCGGCTTAAGTCCCGGCAGCACCCGCCATGTGGCTCTTCTGGGGTGCCTTAAATATAACGGTAACTGCTGTGCTGGCGGCCTGGAGAGTGACGGTGTGAAAGCGCTAAGGATGGATGAGCTGGCGACGGGAAGGCAGACCACGGCGTGCTGAAATCTCGTAACCGAAGCAGACGCTGGAATGCTGCAGGCCTCTCTGGTCACCCTTCGTCCATGGACATCCCTTGGCCAGCTCATCTGACATTTTTACTCCCCCTAACGCGTGCTAAAGTTTCAGAGTCTCCCGCTGAGATAGTGAGGAGGTAATAAAGCAGCGTTTACT